CTTTTTCATTTCTTTTACATGTGAACACATTGAAATTACTGCCCATTTTAATCCATTCTATATTACAGATGTGGTAGGTTACGTTACAGTTAACAACGTTTGATACAGAAGAAAAGGAGGTTTTGATTGATCTTTTTTTTTCCCAAGAAGAACCCAGAGTTTCCCTTTATTCAACACACAGATACACATACAAAAATGGTCAGTGTGCAGCAGTGCGTCCTCGAGCTGTTGGGCCTCAGAAACAATATGAACAATACCAGCTTTAAGCTGCAGTTGGGAAGTAAGCACTATGTTTGATCTTTTCTGTTTATGTGTTTCCCGGATTGTTTACACTCTGTGGTCAAATGTGCACAGATCTGATGTTTAAACTCTCAGAACAATAACCTTGTGCTGAAATAAGCACACAATCGGCTGCTTTCCACTCAGTTTACAGTCATGCTCAATTCCCACTATGTCAGTTATGGTGGGTTCAAGTAAGATGCAACAGTGTGGTAGATAATATGGAACAGATAAGTCATAGACCCCAAAATGTCAAATCCCTTATTTTCAGTTACAGTAACAAAGTACATGTACTTCATTCCTGTACTTAAGTACTTCTTTGAAGTATGATACTTTTATTTTCACTTCACATTTCACCATGAAATGTCCTACTTTCTATTGCACCACTTTCTGTAAGACAGCATGAGGTAAAAACTTAATTTTAGATAATATACAAAAAATGTCACAAAGAAATCAAACCAATCATAGTGCACTTTTTTTTTTATCAAATCTCTCCCCAAAATACAGAGTGTCCAGTCATAGCTTAGGCACTGTAACTAGGCCCAGGCATGTCTGACAAGCTTTCACAATTTAAGAAAATGTTGCAGTGCTGTTTGTGGCATTTGAAATTCAGATAACTGACTTCCCAGCATTTTGGATTGAACACACACACTTTCTAAGCCACTTAAGTCACGGGGGTGCTGGAGCCTATCCCAGCAGTCATTGGGCAGTAGGCAGGATACACCCTGGACAGGTTGCCATGCCATCGCAGGACATACATACACACCTAGGGGCAATTTAGCATGTCCCAACAGCCTGACTGCGGGAGGAAACCCACGCAGACACGGGGAGAACATGCAAACTCCACACAGAAAGGACCCTGGTCGCCCAACCAGGAATCGAACCCAGGCTCTTCTTGCTATAAGGCGACAGCGCTACCCACTGTGTCACCGTACCACCTAAATTGAATAAACAAAAACAGAAATGATGATTTGTCAGAACATCTCACAAAACATACTTTAAAGCTACAGGTGGAAATCTGTAACTGCACACAACATACAGAAAAACATGCTGTAATGCTGGTTGTGCTTCAGACCCCAATGAGCAGATGAATCTGATGATCGCGTGTGAGTGAATTATCTACTATTGTCATCATCTCTTTATCAGTATAATTTTTTTGTATCTTTTTTGCTTCTGAGACCTGAACATTAAGCCAGAGCTTCATTATCAGCCTATGAGTGTGATATTAATACGTTAAGACTTATGATGTGGTCCAAAAATCTGACTCAACACTTCTGACTTTTCAATTATTATTTAGGTTTTTCTGGGTGACTCGCACCACTGCACACTCACTATAGTATGTTTTTTTTCCTCTTGACTCAGTAATGCAACCTAATTTTAATCAGAAGACTTACATAGTGCAGCTGTAAGTACATCCACAGGCAAGTACTTTTGTAAAAAAATACAAATGGACATGATATAAGTAATATCAATTTATTATACTTTTCCTGATCAATATTTTATCAAGGGTATCTCTACCGTCATTCATTGTAGTTGGCTGACCTGATTATTTTAATCCATTAGTAAACTTGTCTTTCACTCACTTAGAATGCAGCAGCTACTTTGAATAAACAAGAGTTTTTGATGTGTTCTAAAATAGCTGATTCTACCTGATTGCTCTTCCTCTCACTGTGCACTTCAAGAGCTTTAGCAGCTCGTTCTTATAACAAAGAGGAACAAGCTGCGGCAACAGACAAGCAAGAGGATGAAGAAAAAAATAAAAACCAGCTGTAATGTGACCGTATATTAAAGCGAACCCTGTAATTATGAAAGGCACAATCTAAATAAAACTTAGTACTGATGTAGATGAAAACGTGGCCAAATTAGAATTACAGAACATTCCATGTTGTTTTACTTGTTTAACAGAAAGCAAGAGTCATGTACATTATTCAAATTTTGTGACCCAGATCAAACTTCAGTCTTTGCTCTCTTGTGTTTTTTTTGTTTTTCACCTGAAACGCTCTCTATTTTTGACTCACACCGTGTTTTATCAGATCTTAGTGTAGGTTACATATGTGACATGGGTGTGAGAATGAATTCTGACTTGTGTCTAAGATCTTGCAGGTTGTGTTTAGAGGTTTTAGGCCAAAGTGTACGGTACTGTTGCCTGTTGCCCTTTACATTGTGTGTTAGTTTAATAATGAATAGACCAAAAGAAATGTCCCAAAATTACTTGGAAAAAGTCTGGTTCCATTGACCTACTTTAAAAATGAAGTGTTTTTTTTTTTGCTCCTGTAAAGTTATTATTTTGGAGATTTGAGGTTTTGTTCTGACAGCAGCAATATTTTTCATGGTTAAATACATTTTACTCACATACGCATATATTGCCAGTCATTTATCTACCTCTTCTGATTTTTAAATAAATCAGTGCTGCCCAAAGACTGGTCCATGGGCCAAAGCTGGCCTGTGAGGATAGTTGATTTTGCCCACCTGAAAGTTACAAAAAGAAACAGAAAGAAACAAAAAAAGTACCACTATTTAATACTTACCTACCTTTATTTGTACATTGTTTTGTCTTTTTGCCCTCGTCTCACCACAAACATTGTACTTTGACCCCCCCAAGGCAGAAACTCTATACACTCCTCCTCTGAATTATATAGCTTTTAATAAATTTGTGTGAAAGTTTGGATATGCCTGTGTAATTCATTGTATGTTTTTGCTAATCATAAATGCTTGAAATGCTTTCTCTAAGCAATGTAAAAAGAGCTGATGTTTATTAAAAATGTATTAAAGAGTTGAAAATGTATTAAAGTTGATATCCATGCATGAATTTATTTACAAACTAATCATTTTTACATTTCAGTTGTTTTTGGACTATGGCATGCATACAGACTTATGTAAAATTTGGGCACCCCTTGTCAGATTATGTGTTTTGTACACTAAGTTAAGTGAATTTAACACATTGGAAAAAGGAACAAGATTAAACGTGTTGTGTGCAAAAGTCTGTGCACACATTTTTATGTGGAGTGTGCGTGTGTGTGTGCGCACAGAAAATATAAATAGACAGAATTCTGCACTGAAAAATGCCATATTTAAGTGTGTACTCTGTGGAGAATGTGTTAACATATTTTCACTAAGAAAACCAACAAAATATGGAGTTTGCTCAAACTTTTGCATGTGATTGTAAGCCTTTGTTTTACTGATACTCTGGTCTCAGTGAGCTCGACTGTATATAGACTGTGTTTTTGGATCTTATCTTTTTGTGCTGTAAGCTGCTTTAATACAGCTTAAGTAACATGTCTGATCAGACATTTATCAGGGTTAAGTAGCAGAAATACTTACAGTCAATGTATTGTGCTTTCACTCTCAAATGCACAAATGTTTGTATAATTTGCAAATTAAATAGTGATTCGAGAGTGGTCCCAGGAGATTATTTATAAAAATCAAACAAGCAAACAAACAAATGCTGAATTCTTTGTACTCATTGAGAAGCATGCTGTTAGTTTTAGGAGCTAGTTTTCATCACAGCACTCTGTTGATACTGTAGCACACAAGAACAGCCATTCAGAGGGTCAAAGGCCAAAAGATGATAAAAACACTTCCAAAAAAAATGAGTGACAGGCTCTTAAAAAAAGCAGCTCTTCAAGGGATCTTTAGTAATTACATTGTTGTACAGTTGTATACAAAAATTCAAATGACATGTTTTGTTGATCTTGTAAGTAAAAGTAAATGAACACATCCTGTACAGAGAATACACTTCTGCACAGTTTAATGCACTGTTGGAGGAAAAAAGGGGCACGTGCAAAAGTTATGGCACATTTTATATTTCGTTTTTATATTATGTTTTGGATGTGAAAATTCATTTCTTATATGTAAGAATAGAAAGTTTATTTTTAGATGTAATAATTTTTTTTAAATGTAACGTTCAGAAAGAACTCAATTTGTGAAAATTGAAAAGTTCATTCATGCTAGTAAAACTGTTTCTCCTGTGAAAAGCCTCAAATTTATACTATTTAGAACCAAAACAATACTTGCTTTAGTATATACTGCTAATAAAATCAGTATTTTGACATGTTGGATTTTCATTTTTCATATTAGAACTATTAACATGTTTAATTGTTCAAAATGCATTTATGACATAAAATAGTGGATTAAAGGCTACCTTGGCCTTCTGTAACTGCTCACCATTGCTAAAATAAGCAAGATATGGAAGCTGCCACGCCTCTCTGATGTGCAGGGACAAACCCTCGACATACTGAGTCAATCAGACAGTAACTGGAGGAGAACCCGCCTATTCAAATATGATCAGCGCTACAGATTGACTGGTTAGATAACACTGTGATCTTTGGAAACCACAATAATGAATTAACAAATGTTGAACAGTGAGCTCACTGTTGCCTGTGGACACGTGCTCATTTTATCTCACTTGTGTTCTAAAACAAAACATTTAACCTGCGTGTCTCTGACGCTAGCCACAAGGAAGTGCTTTGCTCCTTTCTCTCCATCCCCTCTCACAGTTGCATTAGCACTGCCATGTTAGCAATGGCTGGACAAAAACCCTTCTGAGATTAAATAAACATAAAATAGAGAATCTCTGACATGACATTCTCATCTGTACCACCAGCTGGATCATCGTGGGAGCTCAGTTGCTGTGAATGTGATGAATGTAAGCCTGCTGAAGGCACATCTCAGTGTAAAAAGATAAAGTTTATTAATATGTATAATTTTTTTTTTTCCTATTTCAGTTGCATAAGTTCAAGCATGAGTAGTATGACATACAGAAAGCTGCATCTTCAATTAAAAACCTTATAAACAAATACAAAAAAAAAAAGAAAAATTAGATTTTAAGAGCATTAAAGTCTTAAGAAAACATTCTGTGGCAGTTGGTTTCATGCTTACAAAGACAAACGTTTTATGCAGAAATTCTTCTTTTGTGCACTGAAGTTTCAGATCCAGAGCGCACGACTCGACATTCTCCAACAAACACTGGGTTGGTAATGTTCTCCCCTATTCATGCTGTTCTAGAATGTTCCCCTCCCATTAACACTATTCTGCAATGTTCGCCCCGATTCACACTGTTCTAGAATTCACGTTGCTCTACAACGTTCAACCCTTGTTCACACTGTTCTACAATATTCTCCCCAACTCATAATGCTCTAGAATATTATCCTTCTATGCGTACCATTTAAAAATATTCTCCTCTGATTCACACTGTTCTACAATGTTCTCTTTCCATATGCAGTATTCTACAACATTCAACTCTTATTCACACTGTTCTACAGCATTTAACTCTCATTCACACTGTTCTACAATATTCTCCCCCAATTCACTGTTCTAGAATGTTCTCGCCCTTTCAAACTGTTCTACAATGTTCTCTTTCCCTTTGCACTGTTCTACAGCGTTTAACTCTCATTCACACTGTTCTACAACGTTCTTCCCCCTTTCACACTGTTCTACAATATTCTCCCCTATTCACTTCTGTTCTAGAATGTTCTCCCCTCATGCACACTGTTCTACAATGTTCTCTTTCCATTTACACTGTTCTACAGCATTCAACTCTCATTCACATTGTTCTATAATTTTCTGCCCCGATTCACTGTTCTAGAATGTTCTCTCATTCACAGTTTTAGAATGTTCCTCCTCTGATTTACCATTATGGAATGTTCTCCCCTTTCACAGTGTTCTACAACATTCACCTCTCATTCAGTCGCCCTGTAATGTTGTTCACACTGTCTAGAAAGTTCACCCCCTCCTTCACTCTGTTCTAGAATATTCACCCCCCAACTCACTCTGTTTAACCATGATCTCCCGTCATTCTGACTGGTCTGTCAGCTCTTATTCTGGAATAGTAAAAGTAGAACAATGGTGTTTGTTGAAGAATGTTGGGTCAGTGTGCCATGGCCTTGAAAAGTCTTTTAATACAGTATATTTCAACTTCGAATGTCAGCCAAGAAGGCAGACATGGCCAGCTGGTTTTCTGTTCACATGGTAAAGGAGGTGGCATTGTCGCAGGCGGCACTGTCCACAGACCTCCTGGACGACAGGTACGCTTCTAAAGTGCTCCGAGAGGAGCGCCTGGCCCCAATGTACCGCTTCCCCAGGCACCAGGCATCTTCCACGATCTTGCGGAAGTGGTTCCTGAAGTTGACTCCAATAAAGGCGTAGAGCAGGGGGTTGAGGCAGCAGTGCAGGTAGGCCAGGCTCTTGGTGAGGATCAGCGCCAGGCGCAGGCGCTCATACTCATTGCACTCCTTTAGGAAGAACATGGTGACGATGTCACAGAGCAGCGCTACGTTGTAGGGCAGGTGGCAGGCAATGAAGACCAGCACCACAGTCAGCACCACACGCACAGCCTTGTGCCTCTGGAAGTTCTTGGCACGTAGCAGGGTGAAGACCACTTGTGAGTAGCAGAAGGCCATGACCAGCAGAGGCAAGCAGAAGCCCACTGCGACCTGGGTGCTGGGCACCAGAGTCTTCATCTGCCGGGCAGTATCATTCTCTTCAAAGTGCCAGTAGCACACGTATTCCTCTTGTAGTGTGGGCAAGGTTCCCTGGTCCTCTGACCCTTCTGTATTATTACGGTTGTGAGTCTGGTTGACATTGTCGTATTCGCTTAAGTCACTTGGGCTGTTACTGGGTTTGTAGCGCTCAAAGTAGATGAATGTGGGCAAAGACAAGAGCATGGCCATGAACCAGACCACGCCACAGATCAGATAACTGTAGACGAGGGTTCTGGAGCGCAGCCTGAAGGACCTGCGGGCCTGCACGATGGCCAGGTAGCGGTCTAAGCTGATGCAGGCCAGAAGGAGGATACCACTGTACAGGTTGATGCTGTAGATGCCACACAGCAGCTTGCAGGACCATGTTCCCAATGCCCAGTTGTTCTGCTCACTGAAGATAATCAGAGGCAGTGCAACCACGAACAGGATGTCTGCTATGGCCACATTCAGCAGATAAACATCTGTCATGGACTTGGTCCTCTTGTAGAAGGCGTACGTGAGGATGACCAGGGTGTTGCCAACAAAGCCTAGTATGCAGATAATGGAGTGCACGTAGATGTGGAGAAAGCGCTGGACGTTGCGGTATCCCTGCTCCTCACACGGCTCCACTGTTTCAATGTAGTAGTCGTAGTACGAATCATTCATTTTGAATCTGGGGGGGGGGTGACGGGTGAGAATGGAATTATATTCATATGAATGAAACTGGAAGATGATGGCTTTAGTCATGTCTAACCTGAAACTCCTAAACCAAAATCTAAATCTAAATTAAAATCATCTCTACAAAATTGTGGCATTGCAGCAATAGGCTGCCTAAATAATGCATTTTGTGTCAACATCATAAAATAAGCAGGTACAGTTTTTTGAAAATGACAGACACATAAATAAATACAGGCAATAATAAACACCTCTCTCTAAATTGGGAAAGACAAACACAAGCATTTGAAATTTAAAAGGAAAATTTACACACTGTAAAAAGTGAAACAAGGCAGACATTGATTTTTTAGGTTTAAAATGATGTGAAATTTTGCTGTCGTTCATCTAACCTATTTTCTTTTATCCTTCGTTTTTTTTAAAACAACTAATTAGAACAGAGACAGAGGCTAGTCGATTCTTCCCCCCAAAATGTAAGTTTTCTATATATTGAACATGGGGCACAAAATGTGGGGGTTAAAGCTTTAAAATGTGTTGAATATACGCAAGAGGTAAGACAAGACGCACACGAAACCACCTTATCAGGAGGTCAAATCTAAGGTTTTGATATTGCTTTGTAGGTAGATGCCGTGTTCATATTGCAGTAGGAGGAAATTTGCAGGAACCAGGTCAACATGTTGTAAAACCCACCAAGAGCCATGAGTCAAGATTCAGCGTAAATGACCTATTTATGGTATCAGTAGTGCCGGAAGATGTGCGGGGCACAGTGGCTTACAGAACTTAACAAATAGAACTGACATTTATATATGAATATGAATATGAATATTTAAAGCACTGCCTCTGTTAAGCTTATTTTTTTTTCTTTCTATGTGGTATTACATATGGCAAATCGCATGACAGGGCAAAACCACAGAGGTTGACAATTTTTTTTTTTGTTAAGTATTTTCACTTTCAGTGGCTGTTCAGGCTCAAGTGGACTGCTTCAAATGTCAAAATGTAGGTTGTTAGAAAGTTCACTTTGTGATTGTTACGATGGAAGAAGGAGTTCATACATTAAAAGTCAGGAGTGTGAAATACTAAAAAGACAAAGTGGCTTAGTTCAGGTTTCAGAAGGAGTCATTCTGATATGGTTTGAAAACGGAAATCTTCCTTTGAAGTATGTCGGTAATTATAACGTTTGGACTCTTTCACACTTACCAATAACTTTGATGAACACTCCTTTACATTCTCAGAAATAAATTCCCTAGTAATTTTACTCAAAGAGCATAGCTAGGTGGTATGTCACTCCAATTTGAATGTTTATTTTTAATTGTTTACCTAAGTTTCAATTAATCATTTGATGTTTGTGCCTTTAAAACTGTCATTTATAAAGGTGGGTGATTACAATTGATAAACCTTGTCAGCCAGCTGTCATAATTTCAGCTATGTAGTTTATTTAAAAGAGGAAGTGATGCTGATTTATGTGGCACTACACTGAAAAAATTAACTAAATACCTAAATATAAAAGGACGGCAGCACACTCTTCCAACCTTTCTAAAAGTGATGGCGCTAAAGGTGCAAAACATTCTCTGATTGAAACTTCCGAAAACAATTGAAGAGAAACAAACAAAAAAAAATAATACATAGAAATTACCCTACAGCATCTTAGTTTACATATATAGTTACACAGTTAGTTACATATATCTCAAAAAAACCTTGAAAGTGAGCTAAGAGGAAACAAAAAGTGCTTACCTCTTCTGTCAGAAGTCAGCTTTACCCCTGCGAGTGTCCTGTGCAACTGAGCGACTGTCACTCGGAGCGTGCATAAGCTTGTTTGAGGTGGAGTCTGACAGATAAGATCTGAAGTCCTTTGTCCTTTTTGGAATGTCTTCACTGTTAGCGTTCATAATTACCACTTCATCCTTTCAGTACTGGGTTTCCAGATATATGCAACCTCAGGCAAAATGACACTGTCAATGGAAATAATCCCTTAAAAACCTAGGACTAAGCTCAATTTGTGGCTGGAAAAGGAGACCGTAAATTATGCAACATAACCACAAGAAGGGAACTTGATGTTGAACAGTAGAGCTTTAATAGGAACTGGTAACACAATTAGTTTATACAACAACATCCACAAACACAGAAACACAGGAGCAGCTGTCACGGTATCACGCCACATCTTCCATGTAGTCTGCTGCACCTTGACTCAGCTGAGACAAACTCACGTCCTGAGTGATCTCGTCAAGCTGGAGAAAGAGACAGAGAAGCAGTGAGTGAATGCTTTAACCACTGCACGTGAAGGTAATTTCTCAGGTTAAACTTCCATTTGGACATAAAAGAATTACACTCAGGCTGAGAAATTACATGGCACAAAGTTAGTTTCTTTCATGCCTGGGTATTTAAATTCACTTCCACCTTCAAAGTCTTTTTTGTTTTTTAAAAAGACCCTTCCTCATTAACATCTCAATTTCACTTCTGCTTCTAATACAATATGCAGCGTTATCTGAGGGGCCTCTCTAGCTTATCTAAGTTCCAATTTGAGGCCATGTAGAGGAGTATCTGCAGAGAACTGCGGCAGGTACCTTGTCACTGAGATCAGGTCCTTCGATGGAGACTTCTTCAATCTCTTCACCAATGCTCACCTCACTCTTCGAGTTATCTGATCGATGGCTGTGGGTGAGCCGGAGATGTTAACACACGCAGTACTAAGATTTAAATTTCGATAAGTAAGTTCATGCCCGAGGGCATGCTAAATGAAACAAAATGAGATTCACCTGTTGAAGTCATCGTCATAGTCGAGTTCTTCATCTGTTAAAAAACGTGATGGTGAGAACACTTGTTGCACTGCATTTAAGATGATTACATAAAGTGAAAATATCACCAGACTTTATATATAGCTGTAAGATGCTCATCTGAGCCTTGTTATTAGACTGGCTAGGCCAGTTTAAAACTTTACTGATGAACTCCTTGAGGCGTGCAATATGTTTTGAATAATGTTTTTCTGCATTAAGAATATCCACTCAGGACATGCCTGGTCAAATTATGTTTTGTTGATTTTCTAAGTGAACTTTCTACAGGAAGCACACCCCTGCAATTTTTAGGGCATAATTTTCATTTACTTGCTAAGTATAACATACTGCAAAAAAAAAAAAAATAAATAAAATTATGGCACATTTAATATTTTATGTTTTGCAACATTAAACTCTTCAAATAAATGGAAATTAGGCACTACAATTTTCAGAAAGAGCATTTTAGAGAATATATATATGTATATGTATATGTGTGTGTGTGTGTGTGTGTGTGTGTGTGTGTGTGTGTGTGTGTGTATATATATATTCTCTAGACACAGCTATGCAGGACCAAAGCCATGACGCTGCCTTGTGTGCATTGCATCATTTGTACACCGTCCTGTGTCTTCACACTTTATTCTTTTCACCCTTTGATAAAAGTTTACCTTTACCTCATCTGTTCATGAAACTCTTCTGCCTTATTTTTGTGCTTCTTTACAAATTCCAGTTAAGCCTGTCTTTGGCTGTTATTTCTGCAAGTTCTCTTTACAGTCTTTAGTTCCTGTAGTCCTCCTTAAATGATCATGTTGTAAAGTACCACTTACTAAGTAAGCTGTAACTGTCTATTAAGCACAATGAGTCATGCATAACTATGCTACGACATTTTGGTAAAGGTGCAGCAGCAGCAGCATTTAAATACAGCGCAAGCGCACTTTGCCTAATGTTTTTGTTCTGTCATAACGCTGTAACACATATAGGCAAAAATAATAAAATGGATGATGGCATGCTTGCAGCAACAATATCAAATCCAATCGTGCATTACTAGAAACCTCATACTCATCTTTTAATCTGAAATATAACTTTCAGGAATAAGCAATAAAAGTAACCAACTAAATAAACAGTTCACCAATACTATAAAACATAAACAAGACTGAAAACTCAATGCCAAAACATCTCACCCAGAAGAGGAGATGCAGTCTTCTCATTCAATGCTTTAAAATCCTGAAGGCCTTTTTCTTTGGAATTTGACGTGCCTGTAAGAACAACAAAAAAAAATTATTCAGATTTCCAGTCAATGTAAGTAGACCTTATGTGTAGAGCTGTGCTTAGTAGGCTGCCATTTCCTTTTACAGTCATTTGTGAGTGGGAATTCACCACTGTTATACTGAAAAGCTGACTGATGGAAACTTGTTCTATTAAAGGCAACTATAGAGTACATATATCTAATAAAGTGGCTGCTGAGTACTTAACATCATCATACCGCTTTTACTGGAGACAGGGTCTCTTTGGCTGTTCTCTGCAGAGAGGGATCCGCCTACACTTTTTAATGGAGGGGTGTCTGACAAGGGGGAGGGAGTTCTTCCAGCTGCCTTTGCTGATTCTGCTCTCCTAAGGTACAGCGAGAGAAGGCACTTAGTGGAACTGATGTGCATACCAATTAGTGGTTAATTCAAGTGACAGGCATGAGAGGAGAAGCGGAAGAATGAAGATGGCAGGAAGAGCAGAGCAAAGCCCAGCTCACCTGGGCTCAGAGTCAGGGCTGCGCTTGTTCTCACGGTCTGAGAACACGTCTTCTGTATCCCCCTCAGTGTCACTGCCTATAGCAGACAGACTGAGCCCAGACAGAGGAGTGCACCCACATACATGCACACAGAAATACATACGCACGCACGCAGAGAAAAGAAGAAGAGAGAGTAGGGGGGCTTTGAGATCGGTAAGATATGCAAAAACGCAGAGAGGGAAAATGTGTTAAAAGGCAGACAGAAGACAATGATGAATGAGGCCACTGAGCTTGTACAGTTAATAATCAATCACACACTGTATTATGCCTTGTCCACATTAATACAGATTAGAGCTGCACAATATGGATATAAAATACAATGTTTGAAAAAACTAGATATCACAATGACAATATGAGAAGCGATATGAGAAGCAATAAATTATGCTAAAGTAGATGTGCAGCAAAGAGACAAATTTTTTGGCTTTGTAAAAACAATTACAAAAAGTACTATGCACAATACATCAATGACATTTAAATATTGGGTTTCAGGCTGGGTTAGTGCCGATTATCCATGTAGAACACTCCGTGTGTTTTTTTTAAATCAGTAATTTTTAATGAAGACCTGTTTTCTTTACAACAAATCCATTCTTACCAACTTAGCCAGGGATGCCAGAACAAAAACCTTACTAGAGACAACTGTTTAAAATTCCGAATAAGTCCAAATGAGTCAGGGACATCTTCAAACATTATGATCTAGTCTTTACATAAGATAAAATTCACAGTGGTCATGTACAGTGCAGAGCTTGCAATGGTATTTTGAGCTATGATAGCATGAGGACTTTTCAGTAACTATGGATGCAGCCATTCCACCCACTTGCCAGAGATTAGACAGTGCGAGAGTGCTTCTTTGCGCTAGTTAAATCAGTATCAGCCACAGCACAAGCTGAGTACGCAGATTAATGTGCATAGATTCTGTTTTTAGTTCAATTTCTCTGCGTCAATGCAAGGGCTTAGTAACAAAGCAAAATCACCACAAAACAATGTCTGCAATAATCCATCTTTGCTAATGCACACAAGCTGTTCAGATTCAACAGGGACTGGTCAGGTCTAGTCAGTGAGTTGCTGTGGGTAAGAGTTTTGCTCAGGTTTCAATTCCATGCCTGCTGTTGGACAGAGTCCAATGTGTCCTACAGCAGTGATTACAGTGTTTTTTCACATATATTCTTCACAGTTATGTTTAGTTGTAAAAGCAAGACTAAACAGATAGCAGGGGCACCATCCTGATTCAGTCATCCTTGTAGAATGATTGTTCCTTTAGAAAGTTGTTGGGATAGGAGATAAGGACTTGTTTATGCCCATCTTCAAACAATGCCACCAGACATGATGGCGCAGCCCACGGTAAAAAACTGTGTTTTCCATCATTGTAGAAGTGGGTGAAAGATGCCCTTGTGGAGATTATGTGGAAACTGACAAGGTCTTGGGCATGAACATTAGCTGTGTTGATGGAACTTAACCAATTACATTATGTTTTGTTATGTGTCTACATTATAAGTTATGTAAGTTATATATAGTTTTGCTAAGTAATTACAAATCAGCAAGTGTATGTATAATATGTCAAATTTACTCATGATTTGCACAAAAGTATACCTACTTTGTTCAGTTCTTTGTGGGAAAGGGGCACCTGAGAGTGCTCTCACAAATCTATCAGGCACTGGAGAGCGTTTTTGAAAAAATGCGCTTTCAGTGGTTGAAAAATGTCATGTCAATGCAGACAGAAGGTCAAAACAGAGGAAACTTCTCCATTTTTAAAAGCATCCATATTAGAATAGACAAGGCCTTAAATAAACACGGGTAGTTAAAATGAAACATTATCATTTCATATAGTGTGAATACAGTAACAATGAGTCCATGGCACCAAAGGGCCAGAGAGCCTGGTTTTGCATCCATGGGTAAGATGGCTGCGGTGGGCTTTAACGACAGAGTGATCACTCCATGCACACTCACTCATTGAGGCTAGTACCCCTCCTCATTTGGGAGAAGGACGGCCCTGCCAGGCTCTCCTCCCTCTGTGGGTGCTGGCTCCTTACAGGACCAAGGAAGAAAGCAGAGACAGACGACAGTGACAGAATGAGAAAGACAGGTACAGAGGAAGGGAACAAAAAGCAAAGGAAGGAAGAGGTGCAGCAGACAGCAGCAGCGCTCCAATACAAAGCACCAAGCACTAGCCTTTTTCACATGACAGGCTAGTGTGGCATCCTCTAATGCACGTCAGTGGAAAAAACTGACCAACAGCACTCAAAATCAGCTTGTGACTTAAAAGAAACTAATCCAAACACCCTGAGAGAAAAGGAAGTACTTACTCTTTCTGACTAAAGCTCTTTTCAGAATGTCTCTGCCCTGAGTATGGCTTATCTGTAGAGGGTATACTACTGTTTCCACATGCAGTGATGACAGGGCCAAAAATAAAAAAGAGAAGATGCAAGTGAGCAGGGCTTTTAAATACAGCACAGTATCAATACATGGCCTGTGATAAAACCAAACAATGGAAATAGTTTGTTCTTGTTTTTTTATTTAGTTACTAATGTGCTACATTTCACGATAAAGCTACTCCATTTAAAACGAACAGCTTTTGTACACGTTCCTGGATGAAGGCAAACATATCTCGACCTACTGACTTACTGAGTGAAACTGTTCCCTTTTGCAGCTTCCTACAAAATGGTACTGCATTGGCAAACCAGGTGTTTAAAAGAGTTTAACTGATGAATGCCTGCTGATAACATGCTTATTGTCCAGTGTCACTAAGCAAAAACATTCTGGGATTTGCTCTTAATTACCTGCACTTACCAGCCATAAGTCTTTTGGGGTTTTGGGAGAGGATCATCAAAGAAGGAGTCTCCTTCCTCGTCATCATCCTCCAGGCCCAGGTCCAGCGATGTCCTCAGGGTCATGGGGTCCACCCTGCTTGCTGGAAGCCCCTCGACAGCACCACTGGGGACCTGCACGAAAGCTCTGTTCTTTTGGGAGCCTGGCAGCTCACTGTGACTCAACAACAGCTCTCCAGCCTGTGTAAAGGTCATCACAATAACATTATGCCATATAGAAGAGGCTGGTATCAACATTCATTTATTGATTTTGTGTTACATTAATAGTTAATGGTTTATGAAGCACTTTAAATGAATTAGCAGAATTAGTCAAAGTGATCTGTGAGAGATGTGAGTGGTAGTTCTATGCTGCTGAAGATCTACATGGTGAGAGAAATTCAGACGAAATAGTGCCGTTAAAAGGACAAGATGATATTCTCAAGTAAAATGGCATTTTGACCTTTAGACTTTAAGCTTGTTTTTTTTGGAGAGAGCTTATTGTAGTTGGCTCACTAGAGTGAAACACTGACATCAGTTACAAGAACAGTGGGCTGTGCAAAAGTCATTTCTGTAATTGGCCCACATAAAAATGTCCAGCTATGAGCAACACAGACATACAGGAATCCTGAAAGAAATTAATTTGAGAAAATTATGAACTGATCACTGGACAGAGAAGTTGTCTGCCGTATGATTTGAAATACTACATTTACTTGAGATGCAACATACTTTTGTCCATTAATGCAGTACAAATAGATTAATAAAAGAAAAAGAGCATGCCGCTTAAAAGCAAAAAAATGTTAGATGATTATGTTACATTTAAAGAAATCTGCAGGGCATTCAGTTGCAGGGAAAACCAGCATTTAAATGAAAAGTTAAAATAAATCAATGAAAAAAATATAAGGCTGCACAATTATGGAAAAACTTCAATGCTGTTTTTTTAAGGAATAACAATTCATGACTGTAATTAGGAGTGCTAGGCAGGCTAGCGGTCTTCTCACAGCACATTCTGAAGACGTTCCTTTGTTTTAAACACCTTCTTTGTTAAAACACAGCCCATTCAAATGGAACAGTGATGAATGATTAGTGCACTCTTCACTGAGTGAAAATGCATGCATTCAGCTGAGCCTGTAAATAGCAAAAGCCTGCTTGAGGCACAGCAAACTGCATACTACACATACTACAAATTTAATACAGCGATTACATCTTTTCAGAGGTCCAGATTTGGTTAAAGATACAGGAACCACTGAAAGAGCATCATGAGAGCATGTCAAATAGAGATGGCACAGATCTAACAACTAGTATCAATATTGGGCCACTACCAGCAGAGAATACTGGATCAAACACTTGAGAACAAATCTGTAACAAATTTAGCCTGAAATATTACAGAATTGCTTATTCAAATAAAAAGTGATATGGGTTTGACCAATTTGTAGATTCAAATACTTAAACAGCACAGCATTGAATTAAGTAATGTTTTTAAGAAACCACACATTTCTGTGCATTGTTTTCATTAGTCTGACAGAAAAGAAACATTGGTTTATCTATGTGATTATCAAGCTACCTAGCTAGCTCATTACCAGTAGCAAGCAGTTCCTGCTCTGCAAGTCAAAGTGTGGTCAGCAATACAGTTGCAACCAGAGTCAGTATTAGCTTAAAAATAAATTATTAAAATGAATATTTTAAATGTATTTATTGTATTCTGGAAAAGTAAAATCGTAAGGAGACGCTGGACTGCTATGTCAAAATATCTGCACTTCATGCGTTATACTTGCAACACTTGATGCTTTTTTCTGCAGTGCTAATCCAGGAAGATTTTTATTCCTAATTTCTACATTTGATAAATGTTTATGTATCTGCCAAAGCCAATATTGATACGCACATGAAAAATATTGGATGTCGACATCACCCTACAATTCCGAAATTAATACCCCCCCCAGCAAAATACAGTGACTTTTTTTGGTTACTGGAACATCACCTCCCGGTGGGTGCTGAGCAACTGCAAACTGCTTTGTTTCACACGTTTTTAATTTGTTTTGGTAGCACCGTTTTGACAACCGCCTACAGTTTTTGACCACTCAAAATAAGCACCTTAAGCGCTAATTTAAATAACAAAACCCCCTAGTCTAGCACTGTAAAACTCATTTCTAACTATTCCTAACTTTCAGAGATGAAAAACAGTAGATATAATTAAAATAAATTTCCTAGGATAGCTAGTCAGCTAACATGCTCTTGGTATCTTAGTTGTATAAAGAATTAATAAGAGCAAACTGGTGACTATAGAAAGCAGTTTCTGAGTGCTTAAAAAACTTAATTATATAGAATTTGAAACGTTAATTTTGGTTAGATGTAAGTGAACAGTTGGCTATGCATTTCTTCCTGTAGTATAGCTCAGTGTTTGAACAAAATGGTGTATAGTACATGTGGATGGCCGCTGGTTGGCCCATTCATCATGAAATTTACACACAATGTAAAGGGCAATATACTTCTTTCACATTATGTCAAAAACGACAAAATGACAAAAAAATGGAGACACAAGGTTTTGTTCCGACAGCAGCGTAATCTTGAAGCGTACTAGTTTTTAAAGAAAGAAATACTGAATCAATATCAACTGTTACTCAAAGGTTCTTGTTATTGTGCCATCTCTAATGTCCAACTAATACATAAATGTCAAACTATTAAATGTTTTGGTGAGAACAGTGTTAGACAGCCTCTGTTGTTACAACACTAAAAACAAGACAACCAGCTGTATTAATTATGATTCATTGTGCAGCCCTATGAATAATGGCAAAATTTGACAGTCATATCAAAAGTACTACTATTAGTGGAAGCTGGCTTCCTATAACCATAACTGCTTATTTATCCCTTGTACTAAACGTAAGGCAACATCAATTCAGCCATGGGCTACAGTTTATCATCATTCAATGTTTTGCATTTGTGTACAATGCAAAAGATACAATGACAGAAAATGAAATGAAAATAGCTCAGTGGAAACAAAAATGGCCCAAATCTAAAAAAAAGCTGTATATTTATCTATTTGTGTCAACTGAGAAAGTGGCATGTGCTGCAAGAGGCCTAGCGCTAGCGTTTCAGCTCATGTGCTTTACCTGAGGCCCAGACGGCTCTTCCTGCGCTGCACTAGGCTTTATAAATCCCTTATACCTGGGTATCTGAATATAAAAACAGAACTATCAGCCTCCCTCTTCATTTATTAACCAGCCCAGAATAGCACTAATCACACAGGAATAATGCACTCAAACACATGCCAAAAAAAAAACAAAAAAAACAAAAAAAAACACACACACACACAAAAAAACCCAAAAACAACATCTATAGTGGAGTGGTACTGCAATTGTCTTTTTCCAAATGCTTAAACACAGCCAATGATCTGACTTCATATGCATTTATATGAACTATATATATTATAGTAACGAAAATTGAAAAATGTATGCTATGATCAGTATGTAACACACAATTTTACACAAAAGCTAAATCTTTACAGACAGGATGTGTGATAGAGTCATTTCACATCTGTTCAGCCTTATCTGATTAGTAAAATTCAAAACTGATTATGTTCTGATACTATAGACTTTGCAAAAAAAAAAAATAAATAACGACAATGACAGTAGACAGTATCAGATGAACAGATTTATCTAAAAGTACTCATCAAAAGGACATACTTTACTATTACTTTTAAAGCTTTATTCAGAATTTCTTATGAAGACTTGTATCTTTCTAGACCAGCCATATGATATGACTTCTAAAGAAATGATGTATTTACTGACTCATTCATCTGCTTTTGAAACTTGAAATGGCAAAGGCGTATTTCTAAATAAGAGAGCACTTTGGTGCCTGCTTTTAATTATCAAAACTCATTTAAGCACAATGTGAATTAAAAGAAAGTTTATGAATTCTAGAAAATCAAATGCAAAAATCTAGCTGGTTGTCTGTTGACATGAAACATAGTACAACAGTACAATCTTTTAAACTGTTTGCTTGTTCTGGCTCAAATTAAAAGCACATGCGTAAAAACCTTGCAGACATAATACTGACCTCTACATCCTTAGAGAAAGCAGAAAAATAAAAGCCAATTTAAATAATTACTGCTGGAATACAAATCCAATCAAGGTCTCATCAGAGAAAACATTACGCGCAACAAAGGGATTTGTTCTCTTCAGGGAAAGCCCCTTCGGCCTTCATGAGTCGAACTAAGAAAACGTGTAGTCTGTTGAGACGCTAAACGTAACCATAAATCAACTTTCTAGACATCAAGATAAATGAGAAGTAGATCAGTCAGCACATACAGTATTTAATAAACTTAACAAATAATTCCAACAAGAAATGGATTATTTTCACGTGATGTTTTTTATGCAGCAAATAATCCTGGTCTGATTACTAATAACAACTACTTAGAATAGTAAGAATTTACTTGTAAACTAACCAGTCACTCTAGTAAACAAAACTAAAACTGTCAAAGCAGCAAGTTCCACACATTCTCTAACCTTGCTGGTAGGTGATGAACTGATCTTGTCCTCGGTAACTTTACTCAAGGAGGGAATGGCATCACTAACATCACTGGTGACCTAAAAAAAAACAAAGCAACAAACACACAAGGCAGTATATATTAAAGGTCAACATATATTTAAAAGTTATTATTACTAAATAATAATTTCATTTTAGCACAAAATATTAATTTTAGATTTAATACATACTACACTTCTACACTGAATGTAAAACCGTTTGTACATTCCCAGGAAATCCTGAAAGTCTATAGCTGTTGGCAGAATGCGGACAGAAAAGAAAAAAGATATCAGGAACCATATGTCAATACACTATGAACTGTAAGCATGTAAACATCCCAGCGAACCATAAAAAAATAAATACACTATAAGGACAAAGGTATTGGGACACACCTCTTTATCACTGAATTCAGGTCTTTTATTCAGTCCCATTGCTCAAGGTGTAAAAACATGCACCTAGGCATGCAGTCTGCCTTTACAAACATTTGTGAAAGAATGGGTGGTTCTAAAGAGCTCACTGAATTCGAGCATAGCACTGTAATAGGATGCTACTGGTGCAACAAGTCAGTCTGCAAAATTTCACATTCAACTGTTGAGTGGAGTTTTTAAGAAGTGGAAGCGTTTGAGACCACAGCACGTAAAGTTACAGAGCGGGGTCGCCCAGTGCTGAGGTGCATAGAGTGCAACAGTCGCCAACGCTCTGCTGACTCAATAACTGCAGAGTTCCAAACCTACTCTGGCATTAACATCAGACAAAAGCTGCGTGCTGGGAGCTTCATGGCATGGGTTTCCATGGCTGAGCAGCTGCATGCAAGCCTTGCATCGCCAAGCACATTGCCAAGCGTTGAATGGAGTGGTGTACAGCACACCACCACTGAGAAGAACTTGACTGGCCCGCACAGAGCCCTGACACCTTTGGGATGAACGAGAACGAAGACTGCAAGCCAGGCCCTCTCGTCCAACATCACTGTCTGACCTCAATAATGCTCCACTGGATGAATGGGCAAGAATTCCCACACATACTCCAAAATCTTCTAGAAAGCTTCCCAGAAGAGTGGAAGCTACTAGGGCTGCAAAGCGGGAACCAAACCCCATACTAATGCCTATGCATTTAGAATGGAAGGTCATAAAAGCTCCTCCAGGTGTAATGTGTAGGTGTCCCAATACTTTTGTCCACATAGTGTTTATTACACCTATATGTACATGTATAAAATAAAATACAACATGTGTGTATATAAAAAAATTCAGTACTCACAACTACTTATGTCTTTATTTTTGGCTCTGAGTTCATCTGTGACATATTGCTCTAGCATGCCTCTTCATTTGTCCAAAAAAAAAAAAAAAATAAAAAAAAGGGGGAAAAAAAGAAAAGTTCACACGTTGTTGGAATGCTCTCAGTATATAATAATTAATGACTGTACCGGAGGTAGGCAAGGGCAAGAAATGATGTGTGAAAACATGGCAATATGGACAAAGGACACATAGTATAACCTGAATCACACGGTGGATTCAATTATGTACGGAAGGTTGTTTTTAAAACACATTAGTAATATTTTGCTTGCAGTTCAGGTTGTGAGAATGCAGAAGGCATCAAAAAAGCCACGGCTGAACCACAGCATTACTTGAATTCATAACTGGTTTGCATGAAGGAAGTAAATAGTTTCAATATGGGTAGGTGGTAAGATCGAATAACTCAAAGGTAAGTTTCAGTAACAAGCAGTAATCAGACTTTTCTGAAGCTCTTGGCACAAATGTTTACCTGCTAAAACGGGGAAAAGATCAGAGAAAACACCAATCACTTCTTCTTTGCTTATTCCACCACTTCTATCCTGGGTAAATCAACACATACATAAATGCTAAATGAGTAAGATTTTAACATTCCACATACATTTTCACCACTTTGTGTTTTCCTTATATGTAGCCAGACCAGGAAAATATTAGCTTCTCTCCAGACTGGTTTTTCCAATTTTACTGTAAGCCTTCTGGTTTCCCCTTAAAACACTCCTTACAATTAAGTGCATTATCTATCGATTTTTACTCTACTTGTATACACTTCATCAGTATTCACATGTATATGCTAGTCAGTCTGACCTACAGGACACCTATGTTCATATTAAGTAAATTACAAACCTGTGTTAATTACATACAGAGGAGTTATTTTGAATAGGATGTGAAATACTGATGTATTACCTTGTCTCGACAGTCGTATTTTTTGCGTGCTTCAGCAATTTGTTGAGGAGACAGCTCCTAAATAAACAACACTCTTTTAATGTAAACTTATTTGATGTATATTGTGCATCAATGTCAATGTGCATTAAAGGCAGCTGTACACTAACTTCATGTTGCAATGAAATTAACCTGTTAGACACGCTGTTATCCTAAGATGATCTTTACACACATAGCTTGGAACAGAAGAGAGTTCAACTGATTGGCCGTATTAAGAAACGGTGACACAGGACACGAGCTTAGCATCTGTGTCTCTGTGTAGAATTAAGCGAAGATACGTGAAGACATGCTACTCTAAACTACAGAACAAAGAACAGAACGCGTAGAAGTAGGACAAACTTGTTTTGCAAAACCTAACTGAACAGGAAATACTTTTTTTCATAACACAATCTCAACACCTTAATTTACATCATGCTTCCCTTGTGTGACCTAAATAATAAAGTTGGAGCGCAAAATGTGGGGGTAAGACAGAGATATGAATCACCTCAAGACATGTTCTGCAACCACATCTTAAAGCGGTTCAGCTGCTGGCATTATTACATGCTTGGATGTGCTCCTGATACTGTAAGTCATACCTGTGGTTACTGTACTCTGTAGGTGTATAAACTGGGTTATGGATAGATGAAGATAAAGTACCTTGGGAATATGCATTACTCGATCACCCTGTGTCAAAAAGAGAGAGAGAAAAAAATTGACATTTCACCATGAAACAACATGAAACACCATGAAAAGTCAGCAGTTAAGTTCACCTCAGAGAAGATGGAGGGTTTCTCTTTGTGTCGACCCCTCTTAATTAACTCAAGGAGGAGAGGCGTGCTCTTGTTCCCTTCTGATTCAGAGAGGCCGAGCTCTTTGAACAAACTTTCACGACTGTCAAGCCCATTTAACTGCATAAGACAAGAAATATACATTACTTTTGCTGTAAATGTTAGAATGTGATGTTTGTTGCTAGAACAGATCTAAAAGTGAGCTTAATTGTGTATTTGAACAAAACCTGAACAAGAATATACATTATACAGACAAAAGTAGTGAGACACCCCTCCTAATTATTGAGTCCATTTTAATTTAACAGGTGGGTGAATTAAGGGCACAGCCTTGCAATCTCAATAGACAAACACTGGCAGTAGAATGGGTCATATTGATGAGCTCAGTGACTTGAAATATGGCACTGTCACAGGATGCCATCACTGCCACGAGTCAGTTTGTGAAATTTCGGTCCTGCCAGATCTGTCCCTGTTAGCTGTGCTATTAATGTGAAATGGAAGCATCAAGGAACAACAACAGCTTAGCCACGAAGCAGTAGACCACGCAAACTCATACAGCGGGTCCGCCAAGTGCTTAAGTGCACAGTGCCTATCCTCACCTACTAAAAGAGCTCCAAAGTGCCTCTGAAAGCAACATCAGCAAAAGAGCTGCACTTTAGGAGCTTCACAAAATGCGTTTCCATGGCAGAGCAGCTACACACAAGCCAAAGATCAAAATGCACAATGCCAAGTGTCAGGGTGGGGGTGAAGGTGGGGGTGGCGGTGGGGGAAGCATTGTAAAGCACACTGCCACTGGACTTCGGAGCAGTGGAAACGCATTCTATGGAGTGATGAATCACGGTTCTCTATGTGTCAGTCTGATGGACAAGTGTGGGTTTGGCAAATGCCAGGAGAACTCCTGCCTGACTGCACTGTGCCAACTGTAAAGTCTGGTGGAGGGATAATGCTATGGGGTTGTTTTCAGGGGTTGGCCTAGGCCCCTTGGTTCCAGTCCAATTGTACGTCTGCAACTTCGTGGGGACAGTTTGGAGAAGGCCCTTTTCTGTTCCAGCATGACTGAGTCCCAGTGCACAAAGCAAGGTCCATAAAGGCTTGGCTGGGTGAGTTTGGTGTGGAAGAAGTTTACTGGCCTGCACGGAGCCCTGACCTAAACCCCATCGAACACCTTTGGGATGCACTAGAACGGAGAGCCAGGCCCTCTCGTCCAACATCATTGTCGGACCTCACAAATGCTCCTCTGGATGAATGAGCAAAAATTTCCACAGTGTCTGTGGTATTTCAAAATCCTGTAGAAAGCTTCCCAGAAGAGTGGAAGCTGTTTTAGCCTCAAAGGTCTATGGATTTAGAAAGGGATGTCATAAAAAATGCTGAAGGTGTAATATGTAGGGGTCCCAATACTTTTGTCCATATGGTGCATGTTTAAAGTACCTACATTTTTTGTTCATTTTTGTCTGGTTAATGGTGAATATCACAAAAATGTTACCGTGTTAATTTCTGGTTGAAAAACTGCAAAAGTGAAGTCTAAATTGAAGACTTGAAGAAAGTCGGTGATTAAACTGGCCACAAGACGCCCTGCAAGAAATGAACCACAGTTATAAACACTACAGTTCAACTCTGGACTCTGAGGAGATACCTCATCACAATTTAACTTACCATCTTTTGAGTTGAGACACTTTTTCAGATTTTCGTTTACAAGTGGGGTTTTATTCTAGAAAGGACAATAAGAATAACTTAGTATCGTTTAAAAGCAAAACAAGGCTGAAGTTGGCTTACTATTCGCTGCTGATTGACATTTAAAGTGCAACAAAAAATTTGAATGAAAAGCTGGCGAACATCAAGCGAACTTCAGCTTCCGTTTAGTGAACACAGACAGAAAGGTGAACATTTAACAAAGCAAGAACGACTAATAAACTAAAACACAGGTTATTCCTCTGAAGATGAGACTGCTCTTCGTTACCTCAACTTTGTCCTGCTCCTCTAAAGCGAGAAACACCGCAGCTCGAAGTTCAGCCTGTAAAACAAGACGATTTTCACTCAAGTCAAGTTACGAGGCTGAAGTCAGCTTCTTCTTTTCGACGTTTTTTGCTCGAATTTTCCCGTTCCACCTTAAATGGTGCAGTAGTTACACAGCCTGAGGCGCCTCAGACTGTCTTAATTGCTGCATTTTTTAAGGTGGAACGGGAAAATTCGAACGAGAACTGGCGAATAAGAAGTTGACTTAAGCTGGGAACTGACGTTTATAGTTATATAACGACTTTTTCAGAAATGTACACAAATACTACAAATGTATAGTGTAAAAGTCAGAGTGTGAAGGCAGCAGCCCATTTCTTCGTGTCGTCACTTAGCTATGATCCAGTCGTTAAGCCATAGTTACGGTTTGTTGTCAGTCAGTTTAGCTAGCTAGCAGGCTAACCTAGCCACAACTTTAGCAGTAACTTGCTATGCTACCTTACTAATAATTATCAAACATTCAGTGACATTTCCTTTCAAGGAGTGTTTATTAAAAACTACGTGTGAAGTACCACCGCAAACATACCTTAATTTTGTTCAAAACGCCATTATTTTCTAAATTCTGAATCAGTAGGTCTCTCAGTTCCGTGTCCTCCTCTGTAGCAGACATCTTCACTCACTGTCATGTGACCGCATGTCGCCCTCTGGCGGCTGTTTTTCATCACTACAACCAGAGAATGAGGAGCCTGGCCACTTCCTAGTTCCCCAGTTAGAACATGAACGGCCCTGCAAAACAGCCGAGGGCGACTTTTCTTTCATTTAGAAAGTAGAAGGATGTATTTCACTAAAACCAACACAGAAATCTTACCAAAACATTTCCTTTTTTTCACAGCAAACGGGTTTTTTTTTGCTGCAGGACGTTAGCATCACTGCTACTGAGTTTTTTGCCTTCAGTGGAATTAGTGCTTATCTTGATTTTTTTTTGTGTGTTTAGCAGTATTGAGCATCCATGCTGACTCTGTTCCCTACGATAGATGTCTCCTATGACCGTGCTGGCAAAAATACAGTGTAAAGTTCCCTTTGGTGTAATTTTAAAAAGAAGAAAATGAAGTGAAACAAAACAGTCCAGTCCAAACCTGCTATATGAGGTTTGTAAGACATTCTTTAAAACAGAGTACCAGAACACAGGATGCATGAGGTCATCAACTTTATTAATACTAACTTAAATGTCATCTGATACTGTGATATATTTGGAAAATATCATGAAATCTGAATGAATTAGTTAAATCAATTATAAACCTCAAAAGTGGGAGATGTGACCAATCATAAAGCAGTATCATCAGCAGTTTAACACAAAAAAGCAATTAGTAACTATATTTTAATGACTAAAATGTAACTGAGATACAAAATAGATCACTTTCCTCACAAATATACGTCAGTAGAATTATTACTATTTGAAGATATGCAGGAAAGGACAAATCCAGTGTTTTACTTGAGGTCATGTCATCTCAAAAGCTTTACTGCTGGGTGAAGCGTCTGAAACAGTAAATGAAACTAGTTACTATACTCACCTGTGCAACTGACCTCCCTCTTCTGTTCATAGTTGGGATTATTGCTGAATAATGTGGGTTAATACTGTGATCCATTCGGAAGATATCATGATATGGTATGAAATAGTTGGAATACTTTATATTTATATATATATTTATATTTTTCCTTTACAACTTTTGTTGTTTTTGCTGATTATTGTTTTTTTTTACTCTCTCAGAAGGACCAGAAGGACTGAGGCGAGGAGACATGCAGTGTGGCAACACAAGTTTTTATTGAGTAAGAGATGTCAACACCAGCATGATAAAAATTGTACAAAGTTCACAATTTCAAAATGAAATATCACTGCAACGTGTGATCTTAAACATTTACAGCAAAAAGTATCATATCAACAAAAATCATGCCATGTGATTTAAAAAAAATGATAATAATAATAAAATAGGGAGAGAAAGAGCTAGATAGAGAGCAAGAGGCCAAGAGAAAGCCATGTTTCTTTTTTTTATATAAAATCCTGTTTTAAAATGATTTGTTGAAGTCCTTTTCAAATGGTACGTCGTAACCTGATGAATTCACAATTAGTAATAAGAAACGTATTCTGCATTCAAGCATGTGATAGTGTAGTTAGTGTTTTCTATTTAAATAGTTACAGATAACGTTTTCCTTTAATTAGATACTGCAATATGTTAGAACAGAAGGTGAGCAGCAGAATTGTGCTTAAAATCCTTTTTTTCCTGTCGAATCAGTTATGATACGTTTATGAAAGGAAATTTTGCTATCGGTCTATTAGAAGCATTACTATATTGGCAGCTGCATACACAAAGCTTTGGAGAGAGGAGTAGGAAGATGGAGAGGCAGATATTTTGACCTGTTAGTCCATTTGGATGGATGAACCATGAGAATGACTAGCACCTTCGCATGAACTCTTCAGAAATGCAGAGCTAGTCTAAATGAAGAAAGAAAGAAGAAGGGTGTGATAATGGCATGGTCAGTCCATGTATAATCACCATCCATCACAATCGCTGTGACAACATAGCATGAGGCTCATGCTTATTATACACAACCGACTCTCAAACCACTGAACTCAGGCATTAATTCTGTTCTGGTAACTGCCTGATGTAGGCCTCCATATTTAACTTAACACCACCTTACAATGGTGAGATCAAGTGTTAGAGTTTGTGGGTGCACACATACATTATGAGTCGACTTCCTGAATGGGGGTCAAGCCTAGTCCTGGATTACACAGCATTCTGAATGAAGATTCTCCATTGACAGGAAAATGTAGACCAGGACAAACCAACCCTGTATGTCCAAAAGTATCCAGACACCCCTTCTAATTAATGAATTCAGCTACTGGTGCACCACAGGCACTGACACAGGTGTTTAGTTGTGCAGATACATCTTGGATAATCTCCATAGAAAAGCACTGCCTACAGAATGGGATGCTCTGTAGCCATGCAGAGCAGAGGTGGGAAATGGCCGTAGAAAAAAATCAGCTTAGTCATTTTTCATTTTGTCAGTTTATTAAATCTGCATTGGCCATTTCTAAAAAAGTGGTACTTGTTTAAAAATGGTACCTGTTATTAAACATCATTAAAATTTGATATGTGTGCCGGCCAATCACAATTCATGGCCACAAAGTGCCCCCTTAATGAATTAGCTGTACTGTCTTAGAACAGTGCTATGCCAGGTCAGCAATAGCTGTGGAGAAAGCTTGGGTAAAGAATGGGTAAGGTGCAGAATGGTCCTTGTTTGTTAAGTTAATAACTGGCCTTAAAATACAAAAGTTTGAGAATAACTGGGCTAAAGGGGCATAAAGACCCCCAGGACTGTGTTCTCTGGAGTGATGGAGCTTTGTCCACTTCTTTTGAGATGAGTTGGAGTGGCATTTGTGATACAGAACTAATCATCCAAAATCAGTAGCTGACCTTACTAATGCTCTCGTGACTGAATGCAATCAAATCCTCACAGCAATGTTCCCACATCTAGTGTAAAGCCTTCCCAGAAGAGTTGCGACTGTTACTGCAGTAAAGGGGGTCAAACTCCTTATTAATACCCCTGATCTTGGAAGAATCTGCAAGATGTCTGCAATCTTTTAGACGCATGGAGCCAGTTTTCCAGACCAACATTAAGTCTAATCCTAGACTAAAAAGAACTTCCAATGATGGTTCACTACTGGGCATGTGGACTAGGCTTAATCTACTTCCAGGAAACTGGGCCATAGTGTAGTTCCTTAGATGATCTGCAGTAATATAAAGTGATCACGAATCACAAATGCTTAAATGTGCACCCACAGGATGTTAGGCCACTACAACGTCATTGTCCAATTCATAAAAATGATCTGTAACACCGTACTTGAGTTTCTGTGATTCATAGAGCTTAAAGTGCTTCTGATTTGTCATAGACACAAACCCAAAAATGAATAACATGATAATGAGTCACAGGTTTCCACAAATGTAATAAAAACTGCCCTTGATGAGTAATGTTCTGACAGGTCATAATGGAAATCTAGCAATGTGTTTTGCATCTGATGCTGATTTTTACGCTTTTCTACATGATAACTGAACAATCCTACAAGACAAGTGCTGCATAACTGTGATGTAGTGATGTAACATATTGTGACGTTAACCCTGTAAGTCCAACACACTTAATCTCACATTCACACGCAGATTTACTCTCTGCAAACAAAAAAAACAAAAAACCAAAAAACCCACCAAAAAAAACAAAAAAAACAAAAAACAAAAAAAAAAAACTTTCCCCACTATTCTGGCTTCTGGGCACCTCCCTGTTATTTTGACTTTTTAAAATAAATAATAAAAAACATCAAAACATGGAAACGAAGACGTCCCTGTGCAAAACAGAACATGAGAAATGTAAAACCATAATGCATATGCATTCATCCATTTGGACTTGATCACTCATGTTTAAACCCTAAAACATGATTGTAGTAAAAGATTTATATAAAACTTAATACTTTACATTTAGTAAAAAGATTACTCAGTTTTCTGTGATGTCAAGAATAAGAAATTGCATATACCCGAACTTTTGCATCCCATATCTAAATAAATGATTGATTCATTGTCATATATTGCTGATATGCTATATCTCACTACCTACTAATAGATTACGATCATAAATTCACAATTTATGCTGGATTGTCTCCTTAAAATTTCTTTCCATAGTGATTGGCCTTCACTGAATGGAAATAACGTTAAGAATGGAGTCGCTTATGAAATATTTATATCTCTCACGATCTTGGGATTTGCACTAAGTGGGGTTCCGTGTTATGATGTTTCACGAGAATGTTGAGGTCTTTTTGTCCGTTCATTTTTATTGTGTTTTTTTAACCTTTTGAAAAACAAACAAACAAAAGCGCAAAGAGCGATACATGTATTTCATTAGAGTGCCCACACTGACCACTGTAAAATGTATCTCTGAACAAAAGACGAATCTTTATGAAGTTCCGTAATATTGTTACAAAATTAACCATTTAACATCCATTGAACAACCTGCACAGCACATACTGAACTCCTCTTATTTCCAAACAGAAAAAAGCTTATTAGCTGATTGCCCTTTACATTCCCGTTCACCTCTCCTCTTCAACACTGCAATGTTTTTTTTTCTTCCCCCCCTTTTGTCAGTAAGCTTTTAAAACAATGGATGGTTTTGTTTACAATTAGTAAATACATATACACTAAAATGTGCATACATTAGCAGCTATAAACAGTACATCACATTATGTCAGGTCATATGAAAAATGTACAAAACATGAATGTTCCTCAAAACATTTGCCATTGGTAATCATCTTTAAAGCAAGGCAACAAATAAGTTAGGTATTTTTTCCCCCTCAAAAGCATAACAGAATCATAAATAATGCAAGATAATACAATAAATTACAGCAGCAAAAAATCATAATCATTATCCATATTTGTACATGTTTTTTTCTTGTTTCTTCATTCCTCTTTTTTGTTTTCTTTTTGCTGATCAGCGCTTGCGTATGTGACCCCGTTACCTGGCGGCGGCTCAGCGAGCTACACCTGGATGCCCTGCACGGCCTGTTTGATGTTCTCCAGCAGGGCCTTGTTCTCGGGGCTCTGGTACTGGTCCTGATGAGTGTACATATCTGTCAAAGTGCTCACGTAACTATCAAAGTTTTGCTCGTTCATCGGCTCCTGCGGAACAGATTGGAATCAGTGAAGGTTGGCCAAAGTCAGAAGTGCTCTTGCAGATGAACTTTGTATTTTCGCTTAATGTTACTTAGTACAGATTTTGAAAAATATAACAGAAAAGGGACAGGGGAAAGGTAAGTTTTAGGGAAGGATGGGCCTTTATTTGAATATATCTACCTAAAAGGGACAGAATAAATATATAAAAATAGAATTTATACATAGTTAATAATTTAAAATGTCAGGCATTACCATCAACAATTTCTTTTGACAGATCTAACAAAATTACTCTACAGGCAAATCGTTCTAACCAAGACATGTTCTTTTATTTTACACTAAACTGACAAAATCATAAGATGGACAATGTAACAAAAAGGCAAATGTGCTATGAGTGCATGCCTTATGGTGAATTTCATGCATATGAGTGTTTCAGCAGTACTGATACTCACTAATGAAGTAAAAACACAAAAGTAGCAGTGTCATGGAAGGCAAAGAAGTATCAACAAGCACCAGCCCACTAAATGTCACTCTATCTCAGGCATGTCAACTGTGAGGCCCTCTGGGCTAAAGTGCTGCAGATATTAGCATTTACCCTAATCTAGTATTCTGAATTCAGCTCATGAAGGCCTTGCTAACTGGCTGATAAACTGAATCAGGTGTGTTTAATGAGGCAGTGTGCTGAAGTCTGCAGTGTTTTGGCCCGCAAGGACTGGAGCTTGACACGTGTGCTCTACCTGGTTGGTAAGATTTTAACGAAAGACATTATGCAAATGAGTAAATATGGCTCATACTGTAACCCCAGCTTGTAAAGTACGAGCTGCATTAAACTGCTATTCTGTACTTTTTAAACTTATTAGCTAAAATGTGGCAACATGTATGGACATTTGTGATGTATATACACCACAGTGTGTGTAACTGAGAGGAAAAGGGCTACAGGGAAGAAAATGATAGTGAGGAGAAGGATAAAGTTAGACTATGGAAAATGAATCTCTTACTCTGTGGGGCATCTGTAAACAGCAGTAATTTTTAACAGGGGCCTCTTTCAGTGGCACCGGTTTCTACAGGGGAGAGGTGTAGAGAGAATACTATTAGCTGGGCATGAAGCTTTCTTACAGTTTTGGACTCCTAATATAGAATGTAAAGAATTAGAACAGCACATAAAAAGCCAACAGTCATCCAATGCTGATGAGATGTGAGGAACCCCAACTGGGTTCCTGCATTCAGTTCTATTTCAGGTGGAGGTGGAGAACTGAGGAGCCATATTCAAAAGGGACGTCTTTCAGTTGTTTACCAACATGGCTACTGCTGAAGAGCAGGGATTGTCCAATCATACCCTGTTTCAGTCAGTACTGACCTGTCATGGTCGGTACCATGAGCAGGCGCAGCAGCCATGTTCTTACTCAACTGAAAAGCAGTCGCTGGAGTGAAGTTTTTTTCGTAGAATGACCAGTAAGGGAAGTGACCTAAGCACAGAAGCACATGGAGCTGCGAGAAACTCAACAACATACATAAAGAAGCAGATGGGAGGAACTCAGCTCTATCACTGACCCATTAGAAAGACCTGGGCTATGTTAACACTGTCCAGTGCTGCTTCATACTATACATTATGGGAAAATTTAGATTTGACATGACTCGCTCTTTTGAGTTTTGCCAAATAATTTGTGGACCATTAAAGGAATAGTTAAACGAAAAATCACATTTACACAATGTCCCCCTAGAGATTAGTCAAGACAGGTTTGGTGTCTGAAGTTTGCTTTCTTAGTTTTGCACTGGAGCTATGAGGCTAACGTAGCCAACAAGTAAAAAAAGTTTAGCATAGTTCAAACTGCAATCCTAAATAATAAAAATTAAAAATAAAAATAATAAAAATAAAAACACTTGCTAAAAGTCAACCTGAAATTAAAATTGACCCTTTTTTTACTTTGTTAGTCTCTGGCCATATTATCATATCATATAATCTAAGAGACAAAATTCTGGCATTTTCTGTAAACTTCTTGTATTTTCTTGTGTCTTCTATCTTCTGTTGACTTTCACCTGCTTCTAAAACATCTTCTGATTTTTGATTACGTCACTGTGCACCAGTGGGTGGTAAAAAATCCTCCTCTCACCATCTCATCAGACTAAATGCTAAGCTAGCTTAGAGACCCTCCTTGATACCACGTTTCACTTGGAAATACATTGCAGTGCGCAAAGAGAATGAATTCCATCATGACTTGAAAAATGACTTCAAAGTCATGTTGACTTTTAATCAAATCGATTAATCTCAAATATACTTGCTTATGTGATTTCTGACATTATATAACATATTGTTTCTATAAAATGGACAAGCAGTAGTAGTATAAAACAGTAATAGCAGCTGTCTATTTTTGCACGGTGCTAATATGCTTTCATTCCTTGTTAACTAAATTACCCTCATAGCTCCAGTGCAACACTAAAGAAACATATCTTTGCTGATTGTCTACATTGGGAATTATGTAAATTTAATTTAATGCCAACCTATTCCTTTAAGGAGACTGATATGAAACATACACAATTTTCCCTTTTTAGATGGTCTATCATTGACCGTTCATAAGTAACTTGGTTATTTATGAAATTTCTGTAACATACTGAGTGTGTGATGCAGGTGCTACACTGTCTCTTACCATATGAGGGAGCTGGATGTTGGCCAGGCTGTTGATGAGTGACTGGCTGAGATTGGCCAGCTCATGCAGCAGTGAGTCATTCTGCTGCTCAATGGCCTTGTTTTCCTCCTCCATGGACTTCAGGTTGGTCTCCATGGTGGTGATCTGGATAAGGACAGAGGCAGATGCCATGATTACAGATAAGTGAACTATTGCAGATCATGAAAAATGAGGGGAAATGTCTTACCTGAGTCCTAAGTTTAATCATGTCTGACTCTACTTGGTTGTTCGATTCATTTAGATCTTTGATTTCTTCATCCAGCTGTTTGATTTCTTCATCATTCTCTATCCCTAAATAGGAACATAAAGTGACCCCTGTCTTATTAACACAAGTAGAATTTCATACTCTCCACACTGACATTCTCTATTTATTTAAACCAGGAATACTGTCACATCATGTCTGTTGGATAGAACTGCTGTCACTGTGTTAAGTTAAATTATGAAGTACCTTTGCTTGCACGCTGCTTGATAGTAAGCATTTCCACTCCAGTTATCCTAGACTTCTTCATGGCTGAAGTGGCACGGGGACAACCAGACAGACTGCACGAGGAAATACACACACATACTTATATATATGCAGCAGCAACACTAAGGCATTTAAAAACCATTGATCCACTCGTACAGGCGAAACATAGATTAAACACATCAGTTTCACTGCAGTGCTGAGAACGATCCACCACCCAAATAATATCTGCTCTGTGATGGTCATGTGGGGGTCCTGACCTTAGAAGAACAGGGTAAAACGGGGCTAACGACGTATGTAGAGAAACAGATGGACTACAGTCTGTAACTGTTGAACTACGTAGTGCACCTATATGGTAAGTGGAGCTGAGGTGTACATGCTCTCATACATACCTGCGGTGTGTGAGGAAACTGCCACTGACGTGGCCTGAGCCATCACAGCCGGGCGTGGGGCATGTCATGCCGTCCGTCTTGCCAGACTTCCAGGCAAACGGAGCTCCATTCACAAAGCCATCCTTTTGCCGCTTAGCAGCCAGTGGGCAGCCGGAGGCGCTGCGGTGAGACACATACTTCCCTGTCACATGACCCTGACCGTCACACCCTGGCACAGGACACCTGCAGATATGAGGGGAGTAGTGCTCTGAGCATGTACACACACTCATACTGATGCTCATGATGTAACAAACAGAGCACAACAAAACTGAAGACATACAAACTGAAGAAAACTGAAAAAAAAAACTCACTTGATTGGCTCCTGGTCGTCCTTGTCCTCCTTGCTGTGCATGATTTTAATTCCACTCTTCTTTGCTCGAGGACAGCCTGACAAACTGCAACCGAGAAACCTTATTATGTTTTGTTGGTACTACTTGAATCAAAGGTTTGGAATCACTTGTCATATTAACTGGGTAATATGTGAAATTGTGTAATCTTGACCCAGCTCAGTTTGGTAGCAGGCCTGGAAGACTGGACACTCATGCCCTATTGAATATGCTTCATACCCTACATCTACCACACCCCATCTACGATTAGCACTTTTATTACGACTGATTTTTCAGTTTTCAGATCAGATTTGACTGTCGCCAGGACCGTGCACAAGGTTAATTTGCATTTTAAACTTTATCAAGAGAGACAGTTATCCTGTTTCAAAGGAAACCAAACCTAGTGTCAGGAGTTCTTCACATATTGCGAAAGCAAGGGTTCAGACCTCAATTTCCAAACACTAAGCTATCTGACCGCTATAAACTAGTAAATGATAACTCTATTTAAGCCTCTTCTTAGGCTCTTCTTGCAGACCCCCTAGTGGCCTTTCTGCCAGCATAATGGAAATCGACTCTAAGATTTTTGATTCATAAAATCAAATTGAAAAAAAAAAATCTTCGTAACTCTGTTATCAGATCAACTACGACACTGTTGGCTCTATGTGTGTGAAACATTGTGACTCTGTGTTGAGCTGCTAGTGACTAATGAGGGGTAAAAGAGGAGGGATGAGAATGCCGTACTGTGAAAACAATTCACACCTATCCACAAAGATGGAACAGTGAAACGAGCACTAGGGGGCCTGCAGAAAGAGTTTAGAATCTCCAACAAAACTCAATTTTACATTGTTGAAAATGTGATTCTACAATTTCAAATTGTGATTCAAAACCTTTGGCCAGCATTGTATCTAAATGTGTATTATACAGCATGTGTTTGTGTAGATGTGTGTGTGGTTACCTCCTGTGTGAGGCGTAGTTGCCTGTTATGTGCCCGGAGCCATCGCAACCTGGAGTTGGACACCTGTACACAGATACAGCAAGAATCCACAGGGCTAGACCTCATTTCTGCACAGCACTGAAGGACATGTGAAAGGATATGAACATGATATTGTCAAGCTTACTTCAGATCCTGTGAATTGGTTGCCATCATGCCACGCATGCCCTTGTCAGCCAGCTGGCAGCTGGAGAGCCTGGGGAGACAGATTTAGAATTAATGACCACTCTCACATTCTCAAAAGCCTTTATTCATTAAAGAATGTGAGGATGCTCATCTTACGTGAGGAGCTCTTTCTTGCTCTCCTTGCAAGGGGCATATTTGTGTTTTGGGCTGGGAAGGGACACCTCGCCCGGGTACTGCTGATCCTCTAGCAGCTCCTGAAATGGATCCAGCTCATCCTGATAAGGACAGAAAATGCAGCGTGAACTTTATTGGTCATTTATAAACAATAGTCTGGTTTTGGGGATATGGATTATACCTAGTCCTTAAGGGTAATTTGCATTTTGAAGTGATTTCAGTGACATTACAGACCCTAATAACCTTAGAGACAGAATAACACACAATTCCAAAGGGTGTGTATGTGGGCTCAGACTTCAATCTCCCCCCTTTCATAACTGCATAACTATTAGTACTATAACTATCAAAGGTGTCTTAAGTTTTAAGATTAATAACTGAATAATAAACTTAGAATTTAAGGAATCAAGTTATTATTTTTTCAATCACATTAACCTGCTTGCTTGTTCAAGTGCTCATTCTTCACTAGTATAACTTAAAAAATATGTGATAACTATAACCTATAACAAAAAAAATTACATAAAACTGAACAATAAGCCCTAGGATGTAATACATTTGGTAAGTTAGTCAGGCAATATACAGTACTAGCCTTTACCACTAGATGTCCCTCATGTTCTTTTAGTGGAATGGCTCATCCATCTTTTTTTAATACTACAGCAAAATACTACTATATCCTTAGCTTTTATATCCCAGCATATGCCCCAATGTAAAATGCAACAGTCTGTAGTATCTGCTTTATCTGCTGCCCCATTAAAACGTCACCGTTTACTTTGATAAAGTGCTCAGTACCCTGACAAAACGCTGATCGATCCCATTCTGCCATATATCTGTATTCACTTCTATAAAGCAGCAGTGTGCCCATGCGGGGGGCTGAAGGCACTACCTCTTTGTGGTCCTCGTGCAGCCGTTTAATCTTGGTGTAATCCACGGGCGGGTCCCAGCAGTCAGCTGGGCTCATCTGGTAGCAGCGGCTGTTGAGCAGTGCCTGGCGCTGGGGGGACATGGGCTGTAGCGGGGTGAGAACCGTACCCTCCCCCAGCCCACCTGCACGACCCACACTCAGATCCAGCGTACTGTTATCCTCTGCGTCCCGCTCATCTGGACTCTGCACCACACAGAACAGGAGAGGAGACAAGGAAGGGTGGGAAGGAAGAAAGATAGGAAAGAGAAGAAAGAGTTAAGCAGAATTCAATAAAAATTGATGAAAATACACACGGAACAGAGCATAAAATCAAATCACAAAAATTATCCCTCCTAGGTCCCTCATGGCATGTCGGCCTTGAAACACCACATCTTATATTTTATATTAATTATTTCTCATTGGTAGCTCACTGAAACAAGCGGAAAAAATGTTGAAAAAGGTGGATTCAAAACTTTCAGGCAGAAGAGGAGATATTTTAGTATTATTTGGATCTGATGAAAGGTTATTGTTACGCATACAGTTTTGCATTTTTACCAGATTTGTTCCTCCAACTTAGTCATGGACCATTTCTCCCTAATATACGCTGTAAAAAACTGTTAATTGAAGTTAATTGAATTTGAACTTCAACTTTAACTTCAACAACAACTTCAAATGACTAAAAAGTTTAAGCCTGGGCACTAACTTTTAAAAGTTGAAACCCCGTTTTTATCTTCTTCAATGATGATACCAAGCTGAGAAGGTGAATGCTATTACTGATACTAATGCTATTGCTAATACTAATCAGAGGATGCACATGAAGTGAGCCACAACATGCTTTCAAACTACGGCCAACATAATGTGAATGACAGCTAAACACATCTGGAGAAGAATGCTAACTTCCAATTCTGTTACGTCAATTAACAGACCCCCACAGTCGCCAGCATCACACTGAGTAATGGGGAGAGGGAGGCCATCCTACCAACTTAGAGAGAGATAACAGGCAGTTATACCCTCTTGGCTCTCTTGGTCTCCTGACTACAGAAGGCTTTTTTGCCATTTTTGTAACCAACTGTTTCCCATCAAAACAAACAGAATTGAACCTGTTGATTAAGGATGTAATTTGAATGTAAATGTAAATAATTTCAAAACTGTTTAGTGGATTATAGAATAATGTAATTGTACAATTACAATTATGAAAAGTAAATCAGATGTACAACAAATGGATAATAATTCTGGCTAACAATAAAAAAGTGATATGTAGGAAGTGGTCAGGAGAGAGGCGGAGGAGGAAATAAAAAGAAAGATGGATGAAAGAATAGAGAGACGGAAGGCAAAGATAAAGAGAAACTAGGAGTGTCAAAAAATATATATAAATATATTTTTTAAAAAAATTGAAAAAACGATGGGAATTGTCAGTACTTTTACAATACAGAAAAACTGTATTTTTTCTTAAAAAGACAGATATGGACTAATTATAGAGAGCCCACAAAAAAACAAACTGTAACTACATAGTGACAAGGAACTACTTTGATGTCAGCTAACTATCCCATCATTATCATTTTATTAATTATTTTTTTACTAATTGTTTTGATTTTTGTTCAGGTCCTCCTTAAATAGTTCATTTTTGAAAATGTGGAATTTAAAAAATAAATCACTGTACTCATTTAATTCATTAAAAAACATCACTCCTGTTTTCCAGGTGCATTCCCAAACTTGGTCCCTAACAGTGGTTTAACCGCCGGGGTAGAAAGGGGCTCAGGCTGCCCATCAGGAGTACCGAGAGTTTTTTTGGCTGATAGCCTGACAGTCAGTTCAGACTGTCAAGGCAAGTTACACTAGGTTGATCTAAACTAGAGCACAGCCACATCCATTAAGATGTCAACATTATTTATAAAAATTTTATTTACACTGGAAATTTAAGTGATTGAGCTGATTATTGTACTGTCATACTACATGGATGATATCATAGTTAGGTAGGCTATCTGGTATCACATGATACAGATATATAGTTTGATTGTCCAGAATCATTTATTATTGTATATAAATAACAATATTCTAATATGAACACACTACTGTTCAAACATGTCAGGCATCTGAGAAAATTCTATGTTAAGCTATTTATGTTAGCATTTTATTAATTGAAAGGAATTTCCAGATGGGAGGCCCATTAATTGTTTAGACCCTAGTTCCACCACTTTTTCCCAAACCTCTGAAAAACTAAACGCTGTGATACATATTGTTTATCATGTAAATGTGAAGTATTGTGATGTTCTATTCTTTCCATACTGCCCACCCTCATGAAAAAGGAGAGCAGGATGATGCACCGTTCACTGTCCTACATCTCCATCTATAGTCCCTCATTAGTGATCATCCCCACTGCCTCTTTCTCTCCCTCTCTCTTTCTCTAGGCTTTAGCTCGCCCCAGTGTCCTTAAAGAGAGGTCACACTCTTTCTACTGCACCCAATGGGAGAGGACAGGCCGGGCTTGAGCTGTAGCTGAAAACGCCATCGATCCAGCCTGTCTCATACAGAGAGAGAGAGAGGGAGAGAGAGCGAGTGAGAGCGAGAGGGAGAAAGAGAAAGAGAAAGACAGGGAGAGAGAGAGAGAGAGAGAAAGAGAGAGAGAGAGAGAGAGAGAGAGAGGGCTAATACTGCACCAGCTTTCTTCCTGCTGTCAGATGCTGCTTACGCTCCTGTTATCACCTTTCAGATTATCTCCACAATCGATGTGTCACTAAAGCAATCAGGACCTGCTCAGACCATTAAGCTCATATGATGACCCACATAGCGGCTGCTTGGCATGCCAAGTCAAGGCAGCCCTGGCGCCGCTGTAACACCACACCCAGCACACGCAGTCTCCATGCCATCCTCTAGAACACTGCAAAGAATAACTGGAATAAATGACTTGCTTCAGACTGCTCAGAATGGGACTGAACCAGTTTATCATTCAGTCAGAGCAGCATAGCAAAATTCTAGTATAGTTAGAGGAAACTAATGTCTATCTGCCACATCTGTAACATATATGCCAAGAGCTGGAAATATTTGTCCAAACCCGACTCCTCATATCGTGTTTGGTCAGGTTCGGTCATCCAAATATGTATTGGGCTTGAGTCGTGCTCGGATGTTCAGATTTTCAAAGCCCACCTCCAACTTTGAACAGGTTTTACCCTGCATTTCCACTGCTTTAGATTTACACCTTACTTTATTCTTCTTTGCTACTTTCCTTACGTGAAAATGCTGGAGTTATGCACTCGCGTTATTGACAGAATTTAACAAAAAAGAACAAGCTCATGAAAAAATGGATGCAGTGGAAATAAACAGCAAATCCATTTAGAAAAGTGCAGATTAGCGCAGCCAAAATGTTTAATGTTATCGATTCGGTCAAAAAGTATCTCATGTCATATGTAAAATGTGTTGTTATATCACTGCTGTCAGAACAAAACCTCATATCTCCTCGTAAATGGTAACTTTACAGGAGAACAAAAAAACGTACTTTACTTTTAATGTGAGTCAATGCAACCAGTCTTTCACACAATGTAAAGAGCAACAAACACTTTCAAATTATATCAGAAACTAAAAAATGACAAAAATAGACATACAAGGTTTGGCAGCGATATGCTCTATGTAAAAAAATAGAGTTTCAGAATTAAACAGGTGAAGGCTAACATCTTGATATGTACAGCTTAAAAATTGCATATTATGGAAAGCTTATTAGAACAGCTGACTATTTTATTATGGCATATTATTTTTTATTATTTTATACTGTATAGCTATTATTGTCACTACATAGCAACTGGCGCTATCCTGTCAGGTTTAATTCAGAACTTTGCTTGATGATGGGCTGGCTCAGGTCAGTTTCAGACAGAATTTTGTGTGGCTCAGATCAGACTCAACACATGATGCTGTGTGTTGAGTCAAGTCAGGCTCAGACAGAAAATTCTCAGATTATATTTGGTTTCAGACCAAAATTTCAGGCTGGATTAAAGCACTAATCTGCCTTACTGACTTCTATTATAAGTTGTTCATCAACAGAACTTCTGTTTTCTAAGTAAAGGCAAATGCATCCAATTGATTGTCTATGGTGATCAACTATGTGAAATAGATGCAGTAGATAGAGATCAGGTTAAAAACGGATTATTCCTTTAAATATGTAAATATTACAGCAACAGTAAAAGAATCAGACATTGTAGGTAAACCAGACCATGTACATATAAACCTCATATATTTCCATAATTTCATTGTTATTAGTGAGTAACTCATAATAGCCGTTGTAAAGTGAGCCTCAAAGGGAATACCACTAATTTATTTTTACATTTCTGCATAAATCAATTTTTTATATGTAAACAAAGTCATTCAAAGTGGTATAATGTGAAAATGTGCATAGTACAGAAATTTACTGACTCAGATTTCTTTAGAATGGTGGTGACAGGAACCAGGGGTTGAGATGTCTACAACTTAAATATTTTATTCAATACACAAAATAAACAACGGATCTGCACATTCATTCAGAGTTTATACATACAGTATTAATAATGGTAATAACTTTTGTGAAGTAGCTTTTAGAAGCATCCAACTCCTGGATGTCTGGTTCCTATCACCACCACTGGGAACAATTCGGTATGTTTCTTTTGAACAGAGCATTTCACATCAAACTACTCTGAATGACACTCGTTACATTTTAACCATTTAACTGTGCAAACTTCTAGTAAAATCAATGAAATCCCCATTTAAGACATCTAACTGAACAGAACACCTGGGGTTTAAGTGGTGAAGTGACAGAGATAGAGTGGGTGCTGGTGCTGACCTGTGCGAGCAGTTCGGGGCCTTTGCCGGTCAGGCTCTGGGGCATCTCTCTGCAGCGTGTGGACAGGTTGAGGATGGCTGTGGCTGCCATGTGCGCCGCCTCCATGTCGTGTGTGTAGTCGAAGCTGCTTTTGCTGCAGGTGCTGCTGGCACTGCTCTCTCCTCCTCTGCCCCCCCTGCCGCCCCCACAGCTCAGGCTGCTGCTGCTGCTGCTGCTCGGAGCGTAGCTGCTCGTTGTACTGCTGGCCGGACTGGAGGTCTTACAGTAGCGCTTAGCTGCTGTCACGCACAACCCACACACAAAAAACATACACACATGCACACTTACTATCAGAGATATATAACTGTGACATATGCAAAAAGTGCATGTACCAACTGGCACAGGTGAACAGACTTAAAGCAGGCTTAGTGGAGGACAGAACAACAGATAGATAGATAGATAGATAGATAGATAGACAGATAGATAGATAGATGAACAGCTTTGATAAATGCTGTGAATCTATCTAAACAGATAGATAGATAGATAGATAGATAGATAGATAGACAGATAGACAGATAGATAGATAGATAGATAGATAGATAGACACCTACAAGACTCGCTTATTGGATGATCTGATGTTCCATGATGAATGCTGAGAGCAAATGTGTCTGAGAGAGAAAAAGAGAGAGAGAGGGAGAGAAAGAGAGAGAGAGATAAAGAGTGAGAAAGAGACAGAAAGAGCGAGAGAGAGAGAAAGAGAGAGAGAGAGCAGTGTGACAGTGCATCTACGTTTCAAACATAGGGCTGCACATTGTTAACAGGAAATTCACTAGCACCTTCACTAAAAGCATTTTCCACACTAGGCAGAATTGCGGTAAAATTAGCCTTATGGAGGATCAACCATAAAAACAGACCAGAATAAAATATCCATTATTCCACTTCAAACAAGCAGTTGCTTAACTGCAGGATAATATACCATGGCGGTGGATATGGTAATAAGCTCTCTTTTGTCTGACAGGACAATGTAAATTAACACTGGTCACGAATGCCATTGTAATCCCTTTATATATATTTAAAATATTCATCAAAGTAACCTTTTTCATGTTCGGTAGTTTCTTTTTTTTTGTATGAATAACATCATTTGCTGTGGAGTGTAAATCAACTGCACAATTCTTATACAACGTCCTCTTTCACATCACAAAACTAAAAAAAATAATTTAGATTTAGACAACAAAAAATGGGCAAGAGAGTGCAAGAGTGGGACTCACTTCACCGAGAGGGTTCAGATTCAAAAACTAAAAGACTGTCCACGTCTGACCGGCCTTCTTAAGAAACATGCAGTTTTGAATTGATGTGAAAATAATCCCATGTCAGTGTGAAGTACCTGCAAATCCTAATTTAATGCTTTGCACATTACTGTCGGAGAAACACAGTCTAGTCTCTTTTATTTATGTATTTATTTTTTCGCATTTGTATTTGACACAGAGCCTGCTCAACACCCTTTCAGCAGGAAGTATTGATATAGGCTACCGAATCTTTTTTCCATCTCCTAATGATTATTTTTAAGGGCATAGATAGCAGAATCTCACTTTTCTGTAGGTTCTACTCTATTTAACCCCTCCTAACGTGACCCATATTAAGTATCTGCACTGTCTGATTTAGAACTTGAGACAAAACACATAAACACTGGATTTGTTTTACCAGAGAAGGTTCTGTAATGAGTAATGTAATGACTGGGACTTGATTGGCCAATTCACGCTTAACTAAGTGTCTGTGTAATTTCCCCAAATTCCCACAAATACGTCACAGTTTAAAAACCCGGAGGTTCACGTCAGGCTCCACACTCAATAACAATAACAACACGGTCCACAACCATGACTATTAACAGATTTTTGCAGGGACACAGGAAGTAAAGGTGCTGCAGCATCCTCAGATTTCAGACTTCAGATTTCATGTTGCTAAAGGACAAGTAACTTGAGGTGCAAAGAGAGAAAGTGCATGCAAAGCTTTTGGCCAGTTTTAAAGCTACCTAATATTGCTCTGTTACATGTAAAAAAACTTAACGTAATAAAGTCTCATCTTTTGAATACATTTGTTTTTTAATCAACCTTTATATCTCCTGCTAAGGGTGTGTCTGAGTTTTAAATCTCAGTGTGTGACTGTGGGCATGACAGAATTGGTCACTGTGTCGAATATCAACAATCTGATTAGTTGCCACTCGAACATAAAGTTGCACTAAGTTTGTCTAGAACAAGAAAGCAGGGTGGGCATTAACAGTGTTAATTACATGTGTATAATGTTGTCTCTCGACACATGTAGTGAGATGTTCTGTTCAATGTAAAATATATAAATGATCATAATTCACATGCAAAAGTTTGGGCACCCTGGACAAATTATTTTTTATTGATGCTGTTAGTGAACATAAGTTAACACACCCTCTATAGAGAGCACACTTATGTACATTTTAGTGCAAAATTCTGGTGTCATTGCTGAATTTCACATATTAGGAAAAATAAAATACAAAATGTGGCCTGTGCAAAAGCTATGGTACATTTTATATGTTGTGTTTATTTTTTTCCAGTATATTAAATTCAAATAAATAGAAATTGTGCACTAAAATTTCTAAAAATGGCATATTTAAGTGCGTTCTCTATGGAGGAAGTTAGTTTACCTGAGTAAATCAACAAAACATGTCATTTTGGGTTTTCACACTACTGTATACATGTTTAGATGCTGCTTAAAATTTCAGCACCCTAACTTAAAAACACCTTCCCGTGTCCCTGGGTTTTTATTATTGTATTAGCATGAGGTCAACTCGAGCAGGACTACTATTACTAAAGGAGCTCCAGATTCAACTAGTGAAACAAGGTTAACAGGAGGTTATTTATTCCACAGTCATTACTGTCAGACTGTATAAAACATAGACATTGCAAGTTCATATTGGAATTAAATCACAGATCTTAACAGTAATCACTTAAATTCTAGTCCCTGCCAAAGGAAAACTAATCCAGCTCAAATATGACTTGTGCAAGTCTGACCTGGGACTTTTCATCAGTTCCTGCCTGTAAGTTTGCCACGAGAAAGTCATTCACAGTTTCACATTTGTGCTGCCTGTCAGAATGAAGAAAGGCAGATCACCACCAGGATCATCTCATAACCCAAAATCTCTGACAGACTCAGGCTACACAGCCCGCCTGAGATTCAGGAGGCGAGCTATTTCTACTGCAGGCCAGAAATCATCTTGGGAACTCCACCCCTCCACTGCTCCGAAACACTCGCCTTCCATTCAATGAGAAAGCTCACTGGTGTAAAAAAATGACCTATGCTGCTGAATTCGTAATGATGTCTTAACCGCAGCTCAATGAGAGAATCTGAGACAGATGTTTTCAAACTTCTGGTAAAGTAGATGCCCCAGTGCAAAGCTTTTGTGGACTTGGTTTCAAAGACTTAAATAGGGGAGCCCAATTCATGCTGGATTCTGGCCCTTAAAACATCTAGATTCTATATCATTTGAAGTTCTAATATAGAGACCTCTAAAGAAGCCTCTAAAAAGATCCATAGAAGCAATGTTCGCTACTGTTGGTTGAAGGTCTTTAAGATTAAAACTTTTTGTTAACAGGATGAATGAATATACAGATTGTTGTATCCCACATACCAGAGAGCAGATCATCATATCTTGGATTTGTTGTTAAAGCAAGCTTCCAGAGAAAGAAAAGAACAACCAAGTTGTACTCACCATCATATCCCCTGGGCAAGGTATCTCGTCCATGGTTCTTCTGGGTGAGGGAACGCTTACTGTAGGCATGGGGCTGGCTGTCGTAGCCCCCACCATAGTCGAAACTGGTCTTAGAGTACTTCTCCAGCTCCTTAGCCAGGTTGGAGCGGGGCGTGCTGGTAGAGATGTTGTTCTTGTAACCATACTGTGGGATCTCTAGTTGTTTCACAAAGCACATTGGCCTGGAAGATAATCATCGACAGAGAAGGCCTGTGCATCACTGGAACTGACTGAAAGTCAATGGTACTGGATATTGCTTGATCTACATACAGTTACTCTGGCAGTGTTAGTATATGTCACTTTTACATTACCTATATAAGTTAACTATCAGAAGTTGAAAGTAGGGGTGGGCAATATAATATTATTTATTTTATTTATAAGTTACATCACATTAAATCAAAATGTGCTTTTCTGAGAATACTTTGAACATCTTCAGTACTTTAGGAAACTGAGAAACTGCATGTTGCATAATAAAGAGAGCATAATTAATGTTATTTAATTGGATTTGGTGCAACTCAGTATGTGAAACTGATCCCATGTCAGTGTGAAGTACCTGCAAATCCTAATTTAATGATGTGCATCCTCTTGTCTTCTTTATTTCTCTATTTCTTTTTTCCCCATTTGTATTTTAAATAGAGCCTGCTTAATACTCTTTCAATGGAAAGTACTGATATCCTCAACGGAATGTATCTTTCTCCATCACCTAATGATTATTTTTAAGGGCATAGAGAGCAGGATCTCAGGACCCCTCCTAATGTGACCCCATATTAAGTATCAGCACTTAAACTTGAGACTAAAACACATAAACACTGGATTTGTTTTACCAGAGGAGGTTCTGTAATGTAATGGGTGGAACTTGACTGACTCAACTAAGTGTCTGCGTAATTTCCCCAAATTTCCACAAATAGGTCACAATTTTAGGGGTCACAGCCTAGAGGTTCACGTCAGAATGATAAGACAGGCACCACACTCAATGACAATAACAATACGGTGTACTGCTATGACTATTAACAGGTTTTTGCTGGGACACGGAGAGCAAAGCTTTTGGCCAATTTTGTGTCCCAAAACTACCTAATATTGTTCTGTTAGACATAAAAATAGCATGTAACGTAATAATGTCCTATCTTTTGAATACATTTGTTGTTTAATTAACCATAAATTCAATAAAATCAAAGTTTTTGAGAGTATTTTTAAATGTGGCATGACTGTTTCTCTATATCATTTTACAAAAAATTATTTTATGTCTTAATGCAAAGTAAGCCTGTATGCTAAAATTTAAATCATAATAAAATATCTACTGTTCTACTTAAGCCCTGTGATGGACTGGCGGCCTGTCCAGGGTGTATCCTGCCTTCTGCCCTATGACCGCTGGGTTAGGCTCCAGCGTGTGTGTGAATGTTCTGCTTAAGTTTGGAACCAAAATTTCTCAGCTTGTTTTGATGACAAATGTCATATTACACCATGATTTTGTTAGCAGAGACTTTTAAGCAGATGTTGCAATTAGAGCATATTCCATATCCTAGAAATGGAAACAGCTGTATATCTAAATGAAGGCTATTAGTGTATGAGTCTATATCTATGAAAGCATAGCCACGTTGTTCTCAAAGGCAGAGATGCCAGATGAAAACTGGAAATTTAAATGAGTGTAGTACCTCAGCACGCGGTCAGACGCTTGGTTGGACTTGGTGCCGTCGCAGGACTGGTGCTTCTCCTGAACCTTAGCCATCTTCTCAGCAGCAGCTATCGGACAACCCGAGAGACTGCAACATCAGCAAAGCAATCATCAATGTGGTGTTAACACAGCGTTAACACAAACACACACTCACATGTACTGTGTAAGGAAACACACAAGCATGTGCACGCACAAACACACACCCTTCAGAAACAGTGGGATTTAAAGGAATATTTAATAAAACCATAAAGGGGTGAGCTTGTGCTAGTCAGAGCAGGACGACTGCTTTAGATATTCCAGCTCCAGCTGACTACCAGTGTTTGCAGGACCATTGTGTGCACGTATGGGGCTCAAAGGGATATTTACATATGAATTATGTATCTCTTATGGCCTAGTTGTGTATCATGAAGACCCAGCTTTGCAGATATCTGCTGGGCATTTGTGGCTGACTGGATTCAGAGAGATCCTTACAGCCAGCTACTGCAGTCTCTTCAGAGTGAGGGAGAGAGAGCGAGAGAGAGAGAGAGAGAGCGAGAGAGAGAGAGAGAGAGAGAGAGAAAGAGAGAGAGAGAGAGAGAAGGGATGGTTGTTTGTAGTTCTGTGTGGCAGTGCCAGTGCATTTCAGTGTATTTCACCCTAAACAGCCCCCTACAGCACTCTCTTTCTCTCTCTGCCTCTCTCTAAAGAGACTGCAGTAGCTGGCTGTAAGGATCTCTCTTTCTTTCTATCTCTCTCTTCATGTCTATCTCTCATCTCTATCTTCATTTCTCTCTTTTGCTCTTTTCCTTTCTCTTTCCATTTTTCTTTCTCTCTCCTTCCATGTTTCTCTCTGTTTTCCCTCTCTCTTGCCTTCTACCTCTTTCCCTTTCTGTATCTCCCTCTCTCGTTCTCCCTCTATTTCTTTGTTTTCTCTCCCTGTCTCTCACTTTCTGTATCATTTCTCTCTTCCTCTCTCTCATTTTTTCTCTTTCTCTTTTTTCTTTCCCTCTCTCTATTGCTTTTCCTTCTTTTGCATTTTTTCTCTCTCTTTCTGTCTTTCTCCCTTTCCATCCATCTAACTCTCCCTGTCCTTCCTTCTGTATGTCTCTCTTTCCATCTCTCTCTCACACTCCCACTTTTATTGCTTTCCATCATTTTGTTTCCCTTCTTATTTTTCCTTCTATTTCTCTTTTTCCCCTCTCTCTCTATCTATTTTTATATTTTATTTCTCTCCCTCTCTTGCACTGCCTCTTTCTACATCTTTGTCATTCTTAATATCTTTTACTCACTCATTCTCTCTTTCCCTCTTTTTGTCTCTGTATTTCTCTCACTATTTCCTGTCTCTATCTTTCTTTTTCTCACACTCTTTTATGTGCTTTCACTTATCCATATCACACTGTTCTCACAGCACACACACACACACACACACACACACACTTATACACATGCACACTTCAGTAAAAAAAAAAACGACAAACAAGAACACAAAGACATGCACTTTCAACTGCCGCTCTGCAATTTCACGCGCACTCTGAAATTTCTGTGAATCGCCAGAGCCTCTCATTCACACTGCACCGCTGAATCACAGAGAGAGGTGTTGACAGGTAGACAGAAGGAACGCTGTCGATATGCTGAGTTGCCATGACAACCGTGGGCCGAGCACTGGTAGGCACATATACATGTACATACATATATGCAGCACGGTGTGTATGTGTGAATTTATTCCCCCCTTTTGGTGTGTTTTGTTTTCCTCGGCTCCCCCTGCTTCATATCTGCTCAGTGGGTGTGAGTCTGTCCCACAGGAGCTGTTCTATATAACATGGCCTGCAGCGGCTGTGAGTGGGGAACAGGGTGTGTGTGCCTGCGTCTGAGAGAGCGGGAGATCAGAGCAGTACGCACAAGGAGGAGACGCATCTAACACTGTGTGCATGTGTGGAGGGTGTGCATTCGTGAATACCTTGAGGAGATCATACATATGTACCCTGTTCTATTACATGTCACTCATAACTCTAATAATAGCATACTAACAGCATGTTATTATAAAACTCTTCTGTAGGTGTACCTACAAAAATGTTTGCCCTGCATACTTTATTACCCAAATAATACCTGCACTATAGTGGTCCTATGGGGGTCCTGACCATTGAAGAACAGGGTGGAGGGGGGCTAATGAAGTATGCAGTGACTACCTACAAAAATGTTTGCGCTGCATACTTCATTAGCCCCCCTCCACCCTGGGACCCCCATAGGACCACTATAGTGCAAGTATTATTTGGGTGGTGGATCATTCTCAGCTGACATGGTGTTGGTGTGTTAGTGTGTGTTGCGCTGGTACACGTGGATCAGACACAGCAGTGCTGCTGGACTTTTTAAACACCGCCGGGTCACTGCAGTGTCCTGTGGGCAGCATTTTGTGACCACTGATGAAGGACCAGAGGATGGCTATCACAAACTGTGCAGTAACAGATGAGCTACTATCTGTAACTTTACATCTACATGGTGGACCAACAAGGTAGGAGCTTCTAATAGAGTGGACAATGAGGGGACAAAGTGCTTAAAAACTCCGGCAGCACTGCTGTGTCTGATCCACTCGTACCAGCACAACAAACACTAACACGCCACCACCACGTCGGTGTCACTGCAGTGCTGAGAATGTTCCACCACCTGATTAATACATGGTCTATGGTGGTCCTGTGGGGATCCAAAGTAGGTGTACCTAAAAAGGTGTTCAGTAAGTAAAACCACATATGTTCTCTTTCTTAGAAATGATGCTTTAATAAAGTGTTATAAATTTAACAAATGTCCATTATTTAAGATGGCCTCTTAATGTCAATGTCATTTATTTAATGAAATGTAAGCTTATACTTATACAGATACCTGATCCTTAAGTATCAGCTGACACAGAGTACTGATACTGATACTGACTCTATCATAGCTAGCTTATAAGTCCTGATATTTTTACAATTTCACTGTTTTTAAATATTTTATCTTTGTAAAAGTCTGATAAAAGCTTCTGTGCCTACTCATATATCACCTACTAATATTTTACCTGTCACCTTTTTTGGGCTTGTGCAATACTGACACTTTTTAAGCTATTGTTAATCTAAAATTCTTCATCTGTGTACTTTTGACCAAAATGAAGTTCTGGTTACATGACTAAATAGAAAAAAAGAAAAAAGGTAGAAAGCAGTGTGTTTTAAGGTCTAAGGATCAGGACAAGCAAGCCTGGGCAAAAAACCTTAATTCCCCAGATTTCCCAGCAGATCTCAGAGAGACAGACTCCCCAACACTGACACACAAATCTCTCCTCTCTTTATTCACACCTCTGCTCAAACACCAGGGCTTTCTAACATCCATGCCTGCTTTAAACAGCCTGAGTCTGAACCTGTACAGCACTAAACTGACAGCTCCTCGGCCCGGGCGCAGACACTCACCTGCGGTGGGAGTTCCTGTTGCTATTAACGTGGCCGCGTCCTGAGCAGCCAGGCGTGGGGCACTTTAGAACATTCTCATGCATTGCAAGAACTTTAGAAAGACAAGATAGGAAAAGGCCAGAGAAAGTGTAGGTTAGGAACACCCAATGAGCAATTGTAAGCCTCGCCTTCTGATTGGCTTGAATCAGCTTGAATTAGCTTGCTGAAAACATTAGGCATGATGAGAACAGAGATAAAGAGATCAGGCCGTGCAGAGAAAGGACAGCATGCAAAGACATGCAAGCACAATGTTAGTAGCATGCAGTGTCACTCTAGTAGAATAAAGGGTGATGCTTTCTTTGGATTGCCCCTGAAGATGATATTTAGATGCAGTGTGTGAAATACTCCCTGGTATTTGGGGGCTACCATGTGGGCTGGGCACTCCAGCGTTGGCTGGCTGCTAACTCACTCACCACAGCAGTGCTGGTGCTAGCTTCAATGGCAACAAAATCTTTCATTTAACAATTCTTCTTTTGGAAATGATCTTCTCTAGTTTGGAAATAAGGTTTTCAACACATCAGTTGAGATCTCAAACATCTCTTCTTTTGTCTCTTTTCACCAGTCACTTGTGAAATTGGGCAAGTTTTCAGATTTACACGTATGCTATGGCATATTGTAAAGTTTTTCAGAGTAATCCCAGGCATAGTTACAGTTGCTAGTTCATGAAAGACCAACTGGTTAAACTAATTTGTTATAGTGCCACCCTGAGGCAGACCCTTTTGCCGATTGTAGGTGAAGCAAGCTAAACAATGACCTTTCCCCTGAATTTGTATTTGAGCATCTATTATTGTCTAACAAACAGCATAACTTCATAATAAGTTTATTCTCAGAGACCCCCCCAGAATTTTGATGTTGAGACATGCAGGGGCTCCAAGAAGTTAATTAGGGGCTTCTGGACCCTCCAGAAAACCCTGTATTTTGTACCTTGTGTAGATGCTTACCTTGCATTTGAATTTAGTATTCAACTAAATATCTATTCAAATCCCCTTAACTTTCACTAACCCTAACTGTAAAATGAACTCAAAGCTGAAACCTAACCCCTAGTCTTGGGCCTAAACGTAACCCTTGTAATAATCCTAACATGAATACGGTTAAGAATCAGCTTCTCACCATTCATTAATAACTTCTGTAGAACATCTGTAAATGATCTATATTTTATCCATATATAGTGGAACTGAATATAATTCTTAAAATCATTGAACTGCTGTAGACTAAGGGTAGAGTAAGGCTGGCTAAGGTATAAAAGCTGTACAGATGTTCAGACAACAGGAGGAAATCCATTTTAGTCTGAATAACTGCTGCTTTAGGACAAAGAACAATTGCTACCAACAAGAACAACCTCTGAAGGAAAAGTTCACCAATTTTCAAACATACATACTCTCATCCAAAGTGTATGTGAAGGCGGTTATCAACTTTAATATGATGATTTATAGTGGGAGCAATCAGGGCCAAAATTAAGATTCATATTAAGTAAAAATGCACCAGTAAAAATTTTGAAGGATTGGTTAAACTTTTCTTTAGGACACTGTGGGCAAATAAACTGAAAACAAGCAAAAAATAAATAATTCAAAAAGAAACAACTCATGCTGTCCTCATAAGTTTAAAATGCATAAGTGTAGCCCTCAGGTTCCCCGATATGTCCAGCAATAGGCACACTCACTGAAAAGCCCCTTTCAGTGACATGCAGAACATCTAGTTCAAAGTAACACAGCACACACAAGCAAGCTGTTCTCTAACTGCGTTCGCAGACACACATCTGTGTGTCAACAGTCACTGACTTGCACCAAGCACTAGGTACAATCACCACTAAGAACAATAAGCAAGCACGTCACATGAATGCCACACTTGAGCATGTGTCTAAAAATGCAACAGCACACTTATACTGCTTGAAGGTGAAACTACACCCATGGTCATTACAGAAGCGCAAACGAGATATTCCATTAAAAGTTACGTGTTCTCACTGATCTTACTTTCTGGTGGTACGCGGTCTTTGTGAGGGCAGCCAGACAGACTTCGGTGGTGCGGGTACAGGCCAGTGACGTGGCCCGTGCCGTCGCATCCTGGGGTGGGACACTTGCTCTCTTTTTTCTCAGCCCTTGAGGAATCTGCACATGATAAAGAGCACGCTTCATGTTACATTCCAAAGTTTTTTTGTGCTAAAAAGCAATGCATGAGTGTTCTTGATTTGAATGTGTACATCTTTTTCACATTAATAAAATAGACTATATCAATACCACTATGGCCAAAAATCACCCCATGGCCAAAAGTGTGTAGACACTAATTAGTGGGTTTAGCTGTGTCAGCAACATACATTGCTAACAGGTGCATAAAATCTCCATAGACATTAGCAGTAGAATGGGTTGTTCTGAGGAGTGACTTTCAATGTGGCAATGGTCTGGGACTGTTTTTCATGGTTTGGACCCAAGTCCAGTGAAGGGAACTCTCAATGCTTCAGTGTACAATGACACTCTAGAGAGTCTGTGCTTGCAACTGTATAGCCCTGATGAAGGCCCTTTTCTTTTTCACCATGATAGTGTGCCAGTGAACAAAGTAAGCTCCATAAGAAAATGAGTATGGTGTGAAAGAACTTGACTGGTCTGCACACAGCCCAGACCTAAACCCCTTCAAACACCTTTTGGACACACTGGAGTGCTGACTTTGAGCCAGGCATTATCAGCCAACATCAGTTCCTCATCACTAATACTCTTGTGGCTGAATGGAAGCGAATCCCTAGAGCCATGTTCCAAAATCTAGTGGAAAGCTTTCCCAGAAGAGTGTAGGCTGTAATAGCAGCAAAGCAGGGACGAGCTCCATTTTAGTATCCATGGTTTTGGAATGAGATTTTCAACAAGCACATATTGATGTGATGTTTGGGTGTCTACATGTTTTTGTACATGCAGTGTAAGCAATATTTTATTAATGTGGAAATATTTTTATATTCTCATTATTGTTCCTCATGCACCCGTGAATATGTTCCTATGCAACGGATAACAGCAACAGTGATAGCCACATTTAGTAACCCCAGTGAAAATGAGGCTGAAAGGAAAACTGACTAAATCTGTGGAGCACATCTGGTTTGTCTGCTCAATATGCCATTGCCTATTTCTATTGTTTAAAAAATCTGTTCAACTGCTGGTTCTTAAATGTTCCCAGAATGCAATTTCATATTTCATTACAAATGTGCAATAGCCAGGAGATAATGCAGAATGACTAGACCTGTTGTCAAGCTAGCTTATCAGGCCTTCCTCCATGTGCATGCACTGTTCTTCTTTGGGTGAATAGTTGCCATTTTCTTCATTTGGAATTGTGCTGCAAAGATACACGTTTGCGGTCTTAAAGGGGTGGCCTATGTGGCCATCTGAGTGGTGACCCCAGATGCCATCCCAACATTTCTGCCACATCATTGGCTTCCACCTCACTGTGGGGTGGGTGTTTAAGAGAACAGTTATTTTGTTATCAGTGGATGCGTGATCTGACTGGCTCTTGGCACTAATCATGAAATTTTATAGCCAAGTTAGATTTTTTTACAGCCAAATTGGCCTATGGTCAATGGATTTTTTGGCCAATTTTTATTGACTTGTATTTTTTTTAAACCTGAAGCTCACACTATGCGGGCGAAGTGAACACATGAGACATCTCGCACAATTCCAGTACTTTTTTCAGCTAAGTTTTCAATAGAAATAACATATTTAAAACAAGCATTTTAAATACTTAAAAAGAAAAATCAGTTTTGTTTATTCAGCCTATTTAAAGCTGCTAAAAGAGAAAGAAATAGAATTACTGAGTCAGGAGAAAGAAACACACACTTAAATATGGTGCAATGCTGTGACTTGCCCTGTAAAACCTGAAATAAAAATGTAAAAGTTAGGGGAATTGGGTTGGATTTGGCAGGAGTTTTTCAGAACCATGTCAAACATCTTGTCACACTCATACACACATTTAATGCCACACTCATAGACTCAAAAAGAAGGTCTGGCTCAATGTTTAGATCTGAAATGCAAAATCTCAACCATCAAATTTGAAGCACAACTATTGTTGCAAAATGATCTTCTCCACTTGTGTGCAATCTCAAATTTCCACCAGAGAGGTCTCCAGATCCCCAAAACTTACACAAAAATCAAGTAAGGTGCTACACTAAAACTAAGAGGCAACTGGCTATTTAAATGAGCATATAATTTTGCATATGCTGTTATAAGTGCAGCTTTCAGAAATAGCATGAGTACACTTACCTGGCTGATGCTATTTACGTCATAAAATTGCGAATCAAGCAATAAATTGGCCGATTTAGTTCTTGGCCAATTAAGCTTGTGCACCTTTTGTACAAACAGGTTCAAAACTTCGATTTTAAAAGCAGATGATGAGAATGCCCAATGTTTTAAACTGGTAACTGGTAAGACAAGTTAGAACTAATGAAATTTATGGTGACATCATAAATTCTAATTTAATTAGTTCCTTGCCACCAAGAAAAAGCAGCAGTTATTTTACATTAAGTCATAGTAAAATTACTATGATTTTACAGGTACGTACAAGCAGTTTGTTTGCATGTATATACAATTATGAGAGACATTTCAGTAGATTTTTTTTAAGCAGGAATGACAGTTTTCCTGTATTCATTCTTGCTTTGTTACAGCATGGCCTGGAAATGCTTCATTTTGACTGGGACTGCTGAGCAGTGTCTTGGTATACAACATCATTGGCAGCCCTATCCTTCCTGCAGAGAATATGTACTGTATCGATGCCACCACAATGTGGGCCAGCATTAAATATTACAGAGGAAGCTTTTTCCGTGTAGCTGTAATCAAACATTTTAAGGTCCTCACCACATGAACTTTATTGATGCCACACAACTACTGAAAATCCTTTGATGCTTGTATCGATTTTTTTTCTTTCAATGGCATCCCTGGTGCAATCCATTTATTTATCACCATAATTAGCCATCTGAGCTCTCCTAAATGATACATTTCATTGTTTCTAAACAAAGGGAAATTAATCTTAACTTGACCTTTTACCTGAAGTGATTCAATGTTCAATTAGCCAAAGAGGAAAAGAGAATTCTAATTGCAATGACAAAACATTGTTGTTGTTTTTTTCCTGGTGCAGTCTGATCTCATCATTCACCTTTACAAGCAACAATAATGTTCTCCTGTAGGACAGCGAGACCACAAAACATGACACTTTCCTCATAATTATCAGCCAGATTGCTTCCAGGAAATGAAAAATGACTCAGTATATCATTCCAAATTACTTTAGAAAGCTTCATGACATGCTCTGGTCATGCAATGACCCACAGTAGAGCTACTAAAGTAGTGATCTTTTCATGCCAACAGTAGTATAACATCCTGAATGGAAAATTCCTAATGTAGCCTGACTAATAGCTGCACTATTTGGATATTTCTGCAAGCTTCATACACTAAGCAGGTTGCTAAGCTATGTAGAAAAAAAGACAAGGCCTATATTACATTGGACAGTATCCAGAGGTGAGCAGAGGAAGAGACGGCTTCTTAGCGCCGTAACAACCCTTTGTGAGATGTTATGCTGATACAGTGTGTCAGATTCTTATGGATAATAATAAGAGCTCGTGGCATAGATGGCTCTCTCCCAGCAGTGGTGGGTGTGAATCGAACTGGATTTGGAGAAATAGGCCGTGGACACTATCCTAGGGATGAGATTTGCTGTCCTAACGGGCCGTGCAGATTGCCATTACTCATGCCTGACAAGGCGAGCCTCTGATGTTACCATGCAGGCCCATTTTAACAACATAAGCTGCTGCTGCTACCGCTGTCACTGCCACTGCGATGAGAGTGTCTGAGAGCGGCCGGAATAATGCGTCTGTCCCACTCAAGGAGTCCTGCAGCTAGCAAACACATGCCACTGGTGCAGTGTGTTGGAAACCAAGCTGAGACAATGGCTAAGACTGAGTGCTAAGATAACTACTGAAACAGCAATAAGTGTAGGATTAAAACTTTAGAGGTTCTGCACCTCGTTCCATTTCTCGTAACATTTTTACATATTCAAGACATCTCATGGCTGAGGTTGGCAAGCACAGAGTACTAAATGCTAGGGTTAACACTGCCATTAGATTCTGTTGGATTTATTTATTACAAATTCAAGTTCCTGATCTTCATGTATTTGATTTCCAGATAATATGACCACTGCATACAAGGAGATGTTTCTGAGGAGATTAGAAAAACAATAATCCACTTGCATAAATAAGAGGCAAAGATATGAAAAAACAGGAAATTCCAAAACTAGAGTTTCTTTTTTACAACCTGAACAACCATGCAAGACCTCGTAGACCATCAAAACTGTCACCATCAGATGAACAGTACTTAAAGCTTTCATCTTTGATAGAAAGGAGAAAATTAAGCTCAACTCTTGCTTCAGTTTTAAAAAAATTTTGACAGCTGTTTTTGTCCATCCTTCCACTGTGAGGAGACAACTCAACACTATGGGTCAGTCAAACAAAAAAGCTGTTAGTGTTTTCAGAACAAATGACTGACCACCCCAGAGCCCAGAACTCAACATCACTGAATGCATTTGGGATTACTTGGATCGTGAGAAGCAGAAAACGCAACCAACTTCTAAGACTGAACTGTGGAGGTGTTTACAAGAAGCATAGAAAAATATATCTGCAGACTTCATTGTAAATCTGAAAGTAAGTCTCCTGAAAAGGATGGATGCTGTAGTAAAGACAAAGGATGGGTGTTTGTTTAGTAAATACTACAAAATACTTTGTACTTAATGGCAGTCAGATTTGACTGAAAATTAAACAAATGAAGGGTGGTCTTTGACATTTTTGCAGTGAAGGAGAACATAAGGAAGATGACCAATGTAGATAAGGCTAGCTACTTAGCTAATACTAGCATTGTATTTACCAAATTGGTCCAGGTAGCAAATCCTATATATTTCAAAGTATTAAGGCAACATGATTCTAGCACAAGTGTTTTTAAGTGTGTGAGTCATACCTTTAGGGTAGTATGCTCTCTTTGCCCCATCATGGAGTCTGACTTTGCGTTCTTCAGCTCCACTGCTCTGTCTGGGGCTATGTTCCCCATGCAGCCGTGGATGGTCCCTGCGGCCTATTCCATGCTCCGAAGGCAGCATCCTGTCCCGCATGACCTTGGCCCGCTCTGACTCCAGTGCAATGGCCTTCTCCAGCAGGGACAGGTTACCCTTGGTCATGTCAAAGGCTTCGTCTGAGCGTTCTGAGGCCACAGACGTGGTGTCTTCATCACCTTCCTGGACAGCGATGCAGCTGGTCGTGTATCCTCTGGATGCTGGGCTGAGTTGCTCTTCCAGCTTCATCAGGTTGACCATGTCTGAGTAGCTCCTTTCCAGGGTTCTGGGCTGCTCCATGGGGACGTTCTGACAGGTTTCATAGCGGGGCATGTGAAGCAGTGGTTGTTGCTGCTGCAGCTGTTGCTCGATATGGTGCTGCTGTTCAGCTGGCTGCGTCTCGCTGAGCTTGCGGGCTAAATCGAAGCACTGGTTCCTCAGGCACTCCAGGCTGCTGAGGCACACCTCCTCCTCATTCTCCTCGGCCTGGCCATTGTGGGCCTCGGGGAAGCCCTCGTCTGGCAGCACAGCCCCGTGGCCCTGGGCCAGGAGCTTCAGAGAGTCCACAGTCTCCCGCACGACATCGCTGTCCAGGTCCACACTTAACTCACCCTTCCGGCTGCCCTGCTCGTCTTCCTCCTCGTCTTCCTCCTCACCCGCACTGTTGGAGGAGCTGCTGTTCATCTCAGATTCCGTCATGGCCTGGTAGGCGGCATCCTCTGCTATCTTACCCAGGTTCAGCAAAGACTTGGCCACCAGTTCATCATAGTTTTCATACTCCTCGTTTGTCGCATTGTTGTTGTTGTTGTCTTTCTCCACCATGTGACTGGGCTTTGATTGTCCACAACTGGAATAATTTTTCTCTAATGAAAGAAGATTAGATAAAGAATTTACAAGCATATCAAGGCTTTTTTCTATATTCAGTTCAAATGCTTGATTCTCAGTAGGAATCTCCTGAAAAAGGAGACATACTAGGAGAGGGATTTGTCTTAAATGTGCCTTGATAAGTTGACAAATGAAATGTCAAGACTCATTGTACTACAATGACTGGGTGCACTGCAGACCCAAGGAGCTTACTGACCTTAAAATCAATAAGATCTCAGTGCATCTGAATGCTAATTTCCATTCCATGAATGCAACAGACTCAGGAGAGACTGTATTTTTACATTACATCCATGACACATCTATGACAACTGTGGGTAGTTGTACATCACAAGGAGCAATGTTTCCTTTTATAGGTATCATAACTTTCAAAAATATCTGTATGTAAACACATCCAGCAGTAATATATGGCAAGAAACGGTTTCCTCCCTTGTTTAGTGACATGTAAGCAGCACAGCCAGCTCCGGAAATCTCCTCTTTCCCCTTAAGGGATTTCAGTATTGGCTGTATTTGGGACACGGCAGGATGAGACTGCAGGGATAAGCAGAGGATGAGGTGCTCCGTTTCTGGAGCCAGAAATATCCTCAGGAGGAGCCCGTTTCCACAGGGGAGGGGGGAGCTGAGTGTTTCTGACACCTCCTGTAGAATGGCAATGCGTCTGTGTGGAGGGGGGCCAAAGTTAATAACTCAGAGAGCCTCCTCTCTCCATTGCCCTGGAAGACACTGTCAGAAACGATTGTGGAAGTCAGGGAATGAGGCTGAGACGCATACTAAACAAGCAGTCGCATCTGCTGCTCCCCAAGTTCAAGAGGGGAGTGAGGGGATGTTCCCTGTTCTGCACAGCACTATAGTCAGAATACTAAGTGGGGCTTGTCCACTGTAGACTGTGCAATGATGTGACTGTAATTCAGCCAATTAAGTGGCTCAAAACAACAGCTGACCTCTTGAGAAATTAATGAATGAGAATAATAGTGACTTTAGCAGCCCAGTTATTGGTTCTGGAATTAGATGTCAATTCAAAAAAAGTGTTTGTGAAATCATGGGTTTAAAACTAACTGTGTGATTTTGATCTCATAATTTATTGAGTATTTCTCTTCCACTGACCGCTGCTGCCTGCTTTTGACACTAATTTGGTCCGCATTCACGTTTATGTATTTTGCATATGTTTTTATCCAGAGAGATTTACAATTTATGTTAGAGATGTTAGATGAATGTAGCTTTAAGTGTATTGCCCAAGGATGTAGTGTACTGGTGTAGTGTGGTGCTCAAGCTGTGGATCAAACCATGTGGAGGGCAAAGGTACTACCCACTGCCCTATACCAACCACTACTGTTGAAAGGCAACAGCAACAAAACTTCCGATGCAAATGCCATATGTGGAATCAACTCTATAGCTCTATTGTGCATGAACTAATGGTACAACAACACAGTTGGCCAAAAAACAAAAGAGCAGCCAACTGTCCGATTACTTATGGTGTCTTGTAATGGGGGACCATTCCTATATGGTTCACCTAGAAGTAAATACTTTTAAATTAAAGATGACAATCTGCACTTTAATCTCAAAGTTATTGTTTCATTAAAAATACAGTGTTGAACTGGAATGAACTGGATGGCCATATTCACTAAATATGGAGTGCCTAATATGTGCTGCATTACAAGCAACAAAATTAGTACTGTCCAATTAAAGGGAAATTTCACAGATTTTTCAAAATTTCTGCATATTTAAACTGTTAAGATGTAAACAAAATCATTCAGAGCGATATAATGGGAAACGCACCATTCTACAGAAACTAGCCAATGTAGAATTGTGGTGAGAGGAACCAGATGTCTGAAGAGTTCAATGTTAATTTTTTTTTTAATCCATTCATGGTGGAGTGGTATATGTAGGGCATTGTAAGGCTAAATAATACCCATTGAAAAAGTAATTAATTTATGTAAAAATTTAATGCCAAATAATAATACCAATTAAAAGTTCTGCCACAAATTTCAAGCTAAGAATCATTTAGGAACATTATGTTTTCAAGTGTGTACAGTGACGTCTACATGTTAATAAAGGACAGTATGAGGGAATGACTGATAGAAAAGATGACTTTTGTGTTTAACTTTCCCATTCAGGAGAGTAGGTCTCACCTCGCTGATGAGTCTGATCTTCATATTCCTCCTCTTCCTCATGCTCATCCTCATCTTCTTCTTCTTGTTCTTCCTCCTCATCTTGTTCATCATCTCCATCCTGCTCCACCACTTCCTCATCGTCCTCCACCTCCTCATCCATCTGCTCCACCTCTTCTCCCTCCTCCCTCTCCACCTCTCCTTCCTCTTCCTCTTCCTCCTCCTCTTCCTCCTCTCCAGGCTCTTCGTTGTCCTCGGAGCACTCTTCTTCTTCCTCTTCACCTTCCTCCTCCTCTTCCTCCACTTCCTCCTCCAGGTCTTCTTGCTCTCTCTCCTCACCCTCGTCCATAGCGTCCACCTCGTAGCCCTCGTACATCGCCGCCTCTCCGTCAGCCATGGTTAAAAACGGTCGGCGTTTGGTGGCTGGCTCCTGTGGAGGTTTCTCCTGGCTTTTCCGCTTCTTGGCCAAAGGACATCCATAGACACTGCAGGAGGCACAAAAAAGCACAAAAATTGGAAGAGAAAGGTGCAATTTTTTTGTTCTACCGAGTCATTGTTAGAAACAGCTTTGAACGCAATATAATGCAATCCATTTTTAAGTTGCATGCCTTAAAGTTAAATGGCTATGGAGCATCTGTGTCAGAGCGAAACCCTCAGAGACACAAAAATATTAGAATTGTTTAAAGCCATAGCACAGCATAAATAACCACTGGCACTTTTATTCATGAAAACGCAGGCGCCGCTTGAACTCCGTTCCCCCAAGACGGCACTTTTGCGAATCCGCCCAGCCCCGTTTTCGACTGAACCTCCAGAATGTAGAAAGCAAAGCTCATTCAAACAGCCCTCAATTACACAAATCCCTTAATAATCATTAGCTGTTGAGAAATTCCACTTTAATTGCTCCAAAACAGCATGCACAATTATGCACGGTTTAAATGTGGAATTCAGAAAATCAATTACTCCATTTCCATATGAAAGGGCTCATTTGTGGCTTGTCAAGAGGGGTGAAGGTTGCTGCTCCCTTGGTGGAGAATGAACCCCTGGCTAAGACACTGGCTGGGCAGGATTCAAAGGCCAAGTGCACATTTTCACTTTTGAACCAGAAATCTGTATTTACAGCCACAGGCAGGCAACAGTACCTTCTCTTATGTGCCTGTCCGCATTCTCAGCAAGTTACTGAATACTGTGAAGAAGACACTGGAAAACCTATTTAAAGGAAAGAGGTGGGTATTAGAACCTGTTGCTATGGCAGTTACCTACTACCTGATCGTGCGTATTTTGTATGCATTGCGATGAACAAGATATTCAAGCAGACACGACTTTTACTGCCCATTTCAATACAATTTTTAACAAGCCCTCGTTGACTTGGCCTTGCCATTAACCCTCAAGGGAATCCTAGAGGGCCTCTTAAGGGCTGTTCTCTTACTATATTGGCACAAGTGAAGCTCATTACTCAGAAAGGAAAGGAATAGGGTGAACATAAGTGTTGACTTTGGCAGCAAAACTTGCCCAGAAATCATTGCCACCTGATGCAATTCCCTTTTTAAGCCCCCAAAAGTAGTAGACCAAGTTGTTAATAAGACAAAGTGATAAAACACTTTAAAATGCTTAATATTTCCTTACCACAACATTCGATTTGCTGTGTTCAGACTGGGATTTTTATTTTAAAAAGTTTTTTAGCTTAATGTGGCTAACCTACCCTGCCATCTTACCACCAGCAAAACCAGTTGTGTTTTGGATGTTAGCATGCTGGTCAGCAGCAGTGAAAGTTACTATGCTGGTCACCAGCAAAACCAGTAAATGTTTTGGATGCTGGTGTGCTGGACAACCAACATGACCACGGTTGGTGACCAGCTAAACCCACACCAGACCAGCACTAAACTAGTATAAACCAGCATAAACCAGTATTAACAGGTATAAACCAGCATAATCCGCAAAAATTAGTACTGATTTATTCACTTGGGTAGCCAAGAGGAATTGAATTCCGACTGAAAAATCCAGTGCTCACTGTCCCCTCTTGGCCTTGTATCGCTTGAGTGTCGAAGTGAGCCGAAGCAGAGACATTAAAAAAGGAGGAGGACAAAGTTCACTGGGTGAAAAAAATGAGAAAGCTTTTTACATTCAACATGGTTTAATGAACAAAAACAGCCCATCGGCTTGCAGGTAAAGCCACAAGTAAGAAAAGTCCTCTCACTTTGTGGAGGTATGTGCCAGACAAAGCTGAAAAAACATTACTTTTGCAATACTTGCCAAATGCTACAAACTGTTTTTATCAGATTTAACCAGTGATTTCAAAGAAATTGGCTTTTGGTTTCCAAGAGATAGCCTGGTCTGACTGAAAATACCTGCTCAGGGGTCGAGTAGACACACTATCCAGGAAAGTTTTTACACCATACTTACATCTTTCCATTGTTCACTGTTTTTTTTTTTTACGGAAGAAAATATCATCATTAAAATCTTTTTATTTTACTATTTTGTTTACTTAGCAAAACTGTTGTATAAAAGCAACCAGAATTGCTACACTTGTATAACAAGGCAACCAAATCTCAGTGATAACACATCTTTCAGATTCTGTTGCTTAATAGAACAATAATGATTACAAAAACAAATACTCACAAGGTGCATTAGCATACATGAGTGTTTCCCCTGAGTAGTCCTGCACTGCTCATTTCAGCATTTTCCCTGCTCAAACACACCTGATTCAAGTCATCATCTCATTAATAAGCTCTTCATAAGGTCAAAATGAGCGTGTTAGAGCAGGGAATATATAAAAATGAGTAGTGCAAAGGTAGTCCAGGATCAGGACTAGCCACCACTGGACTGCAGAAGCCCAGTCCAAACGAACAAGAGCAGTTATAGAGACTTTCACTGCCCTGTGCTTCATGTGAAGACCTCACATGCTTGGTTAGGAGGCATTAGACTGTGAAACGGCCTAGATTCATTCCGCAAAGAAGCCGACCCTAATGTACGCAAATCAGGACCACCAGCAATAACGGATTCCGGCCTAACAGTATAATGGACTGAGCATTCAAATCGTGTTGCTCATGAATAATGCAGAACGATTCGACTACAGCATGCATACCCCATATTTAACATTAACAGTGGCACCAAACAGAATTCATAGCCTTCCACTGAAAAGCACAGTCACACATGGATTAGTTGTTGTAAAAGTGATTTTACACACATGTATACATATATATATATATATATATATATATATATATATATATATTAATTTACCAATAGAAATGGTCCTTGAATTACTTGAACTAGCATACAGTAAAACTATTTTCCTATAACGTTACTACTTTGGAAATACAACGTTTAGTTATAAAAGACAGACAATATGTTACAGTATGCTTAGCCTCTGTATATCTGCACCATTCATTAAAAAAAGGCTCAAACTGCCTGTAATGGCACACCTCAAATTTCTTAGTTTAGTCTGTCTTCCACCACCTCATTTACGTACGCCACACGAGCGGAACATATGAGCTCCAGAACTGTGTGGTGTGTTTGGTGGGCAGGCAGCCAACAGTGTCTGTGTGGGGGAGAGTGCTCATGAGCCACTCGCAATGACCTTGGACACCTTCACGTTTCCCACTGGCAGGCCACGCCAATTAAAATTCCACAGGTAATTAAACCACATTTGAATGAGGGAGCAGTGCAGGCAGGGTTTGAGTGGGACTGCTGTAATTACGCAGAGAGAGAGAGAGAGAGAGAGAGAGAGAGAGAGAAAGAGAGAAAGAGAAAGACTTTCAGTGAGCCTTTCAGCGCTGCCGAGAGAAATAATGACTTCAGCCACAGACAGCTCCTGGCGGACAAATGCTCTGATGAACTCTACTAATGTCAACAGAAATGAAAAGAAAAAAAGAAAAGAAAAGAAAAAAGGCTACAATGTTTGCTGGAGCCTATTCTATTCTATTCTATTCTATTCTATTCTATTCAGTGGATCTTGAGAAGCACTGTTGGAAATCTTTTTTCTTGTACATTCACAGCACTTAAACATCAAATTCTACTATTATTGTAATTATTATTAGAATTTTGAAAAGTGCAAAGTATTTTTGCTTTACTTTTGCAAAAATTTGGGAAAACTGTCAAAATTAGGAAAATTTTCCCTGCCATATGGAAAAAACTGATATGAGGCTACTGAAAATGTCACCTTTTCTTGTTTCTTTCAGCTTTAATTGGTCTGAATGCCATGGGCCCTTCTGAGGTTCTGGCCTGTTGTTACTGCAGTGTGCTATCTCACATATCCCACAGCCCTGGAGCTCCACAAAGCTGGAGGCCCGCTGCTGCCTCTGCCGGAGCGAGTTGCCATAGGAGCGAGTGCATAGCCTCAGTGTGTCTATACACTGCAGCATCCACAGGCATGCAAGACAAGGCACCGTCGCCATGGTGATCTACCCCTCCGGAGCAGGGATTTGCCATTCGAACAGACAGACAGAGACGGAGAGTGAGAGAAAAGAGAGTGTGTGCGAGAGAGAGAGAGAGAGAGAGAGAGAGAGCAGTGATTGGGAGTCTGACAGGCATCCCCCCTCCCTCATCCACCCGCTCCAGCAGCAGAACAAAAGAGGCATCGATGCTGAGCTTTCTGGAGGCTTCTGTCTATCTCTGAGGCTCCACCGCTCTCTCTCTCTTTCTCTCTCTCTCTCTCTGCTGTGGGCAGTATGGCCTTCTCCTCTCAGCCTCATGTTTGCACAGCTGAATTACACAGTTTGACACAATTTGGCACAATTCATTTCACATTCAGAAAACGTATATACATTGTTTTGCGCGTTCCCTTGTGCCTTGTATGTTTATCCCTATGGCCAATAACAAGTGTCTGCTAAGACCTGCAGCACTGGCCAGCAGTGGAACTGGGTTCTCTGGAGTGATGGAGCTCCATCCAATACCTTTGGGATGAGTTGGAATACAGTTTATGATCCAGAACTAATCATCCAACCTCAGTACCTGATCTCATTAATGCTCTCGTGGCTGAATGCAATCAAATCCTTACGTCAATGTTACAAGTCTAGTCTTGGACTAAACTGCAGTGCAAATCTTGTATCACCATTGGAAATTCTTGGGCTTAATCTGAGAAACTAGCACATAGTGAATTTAGCACAAGAGACTGACAATTGTGATACTGAACATCTTATCTACCCTCCTGTAGCTTCACTTCAAAAGCTGACAGATGTTCCTCTCCATGTGGCTAAAGCCTGCTACTCTGTTAACATGAGAAACACAAAATCCTTATGTTAATTCTTATGTAGGTTAACCACATAAACACTAGGCTTATTATTTAGTTATTAATCTTAAGGCTTACTATTAAACTATGAAACTATTATATAGGCATTGAGGAGAGTAGGGAAACCAGGATTCACAGATGTGTCCTAAGGGTTTAGGAGGTAACAGAAGAAATAGTCCTGCAGCAGGTTCTAAGCTTTAGAGAGCGAGAGGAGACCGTGGTCTAGGCTGGGCATGGGTCACTGTATTCGTCTATATG